ATTTAATTATAATGAACAATATAAGTTTTTAGTTTTTTTCCAAGCTGAGATTAATTTGTAAAATTTGATAATCTTAAAAAAAATTTCATGCTTTTTTCATTTTATATAATTCCTAAAAATTTGCAGTATTTTATTAAATAATCTGAATTTATGTTTTTTTTGTCAATTAACATAAATTTGAATAATTTGATATATTTTTATGATTGAACTTCTGATGGTTATTAAAATATCATTTGTCTTTATAATTTTCTGAAGCCTGATTTTTTGAATCATGAACTCCGCAGCCTGCGCACAACCCGAGCACGCCAGCTCGCCTCTCACTCTATGAGCAGTACTATTCTTAGTATATCTCTCGCCAAACACTAATCGCGGTTTTGACCATTAGCTGAACTCTTCGAACGGTATTCAGAGGGTTCGTCTGAGATGAGTTCTCCAAGGGAAAATGGTCGCTCTTGATTGCAGAGTGTAGGGAGGTGAGAGCGTGTCATGGCACGGTAAAAATTTGCAGTATTTTATTAAATAATCTGAACATATGATTTTTTCCAATTAACATACATTTGAATAATTTGATATATTTTTACCATTGAACTTCTGATGGTTATCAAAATATAATTTGTCTTTCTAATTTTCTGAAGCATGAATTCTGAATCATGATTCAGAACTCAAGAATATGTGTTTTTACATTTTCATTTTTATTTTCATGTCTTCAAATTATTTTTATTTTTATTTTGACTTTATAATTGATTCTTTGATTTTCAGATGATATAAATTTGCTCACGTGCAATTATCATTAATCTATCGGATCAAGCATATTTATAAAAATAGGATGATTTTCATTCAATTCAATACCACCATTTTGCAAACAATCTACGCCACATACATTTTTTTATGAATTTAATGAAAATAAATACCTAAATTATAATTCTATACATATGGATTGAAGATTCTCACTAGATTTGTAAAGAGTGTTTTAAAGTTTGATAGAACTGCCAAGTTATAAACAAGTAACATTATAAATAAGTAGCTTTACAGCTTTATCAATCAATCTTTGAAACTTTCCAAAGCTCTAGTACGCAGAATTATTAAAATGTGAAGAATGAGCCAAAGTCCATCATGCATCGATTTCACAAATTGCTAAAAAGTCAATGCTACTTGAAACAAACCCGGTGTCTTGTGCCTCGCATAATAACAGAGTCAGAAGATACATGCATATGAAATGTATGATGCTTGTTACACTCTAACGAAGCATCTGATGAGTGGAAAAGATGCATTTTCATGGAGTTGTCATCAAGATGTAACACGACTCTTCCTGTCAATAGGCTATGTTGAATTCATGCTATCACTTATCTATCATAGATGACTGAAAAATTTTCCAAACAGAACTTGGATTCTTTACACGAGCGGTTCATGAAAGCCTTTCATAAAAACCACGCGCTCTTGCCATTAGGGGCTTGTGGACATATGGGAATGATTCAGAATCCATAACGTACATGGGAGTATAAGAACTTGAAAGTCTGCAATACTCCTTCACTTTTCTTGACAAAATGAACAGATCAAACAAATAGCAGAATTTTGCTATTGCAACCTATGCTCCACTGGGTCTAAAAAAAGGACTGAAATGATCACAATGTTGACACCTGGACTCGTACTTTTCATGGACTCCATCTGGCATAGAAGGCCGACAGAACTCCATGAGTCGACCGCCTGAACTTTAACACCGGTTGTTTATCACTGTTAAATAGTTGTTTGATATTACCACGCCATATTTAATCAAATTACAATGCTTGAATTCCGATAGTCTCATCGTTTGTGTTGTTTAAAGCTCTTTTGGGTTAGTTTCACCCGCACCATATTCAATTTAACTACAATCACATTGTGTTTCCTTGTAAGTTTTCCAAACAGATCTTGGATTCTTTAAACCAACGGTTCATGATAGCCTCTGGTAAAAACCACACGCTCTTGCCATTGGAGGCTTGTGGACATACGGGAATGATTCAGCATGGGAGTATAATAACTTGAAAGTCTGCAATCCTCCTTCACTTCTCTTGACAAAATAAACACATCAAACAAATTGCAGAATTTTGCAATTGCAACCCATGCTTTGCTTTCAGCCTTGGGATGATAAACCAGAGGCAACATTATCGGGCTCCTCTCCATACGTGATGAGGTTTACAATAATTTATTGTTCAGGTGCTTGGAACAGGCACCTCGAGTTCGGACGAGCAGTCACTCGGTAAAAATTGTGCTCGTCCATTATTAAAACAAAACATTAATATTGAAAATTTTTCTATTAATTTTGAATATAAAACTTCAATATATATAAATAAATAAAAATATATATCTATAGAAAACTATTAAAAAAACATTAAATTTCTTAAAAATAAAAATAAAAATAAAAATAAAAAAGTATTAAAATTTATTTACAAAAAATAAATTAATACAAAAATTACGTAAAAATTTTCAAATAAATATTTAAAAAAGTTATATAATTTTGAAAATTAATAAGACAAAATTGACTAATAACTTAAGTAAGTTTTTTCAAGATAATTGAAAAAAATATTCAACTGTAAATAATAAAAAATTAAAAAATTAAAGTTAATTTTAAACAAATAATGATATTAATTTCTCAAGCATATGTATTTAATAAAATATGGGAAATAAAAACAAAAAATAAGTCTTATTTTAAATTTTTATTAAAATATTGGACATCCCATTTATGGATAAAAAAAAATTTCAATTTTTTTTTTATCTTATCAATGAATAGTTGGTTCTCTAGAATTACAAAATTTGAATGAGTGATTAAAAGGTTTTAATCAATATAAATTTTCATCCAAAGAGTGGTATAAAATAACACCTCAATAATGGAGAAATAAATTTAGTGAACATTGAAAAAAAAGAAAATAAAAGTTAAATTTTAATCAACAGATTAGTGAAAATATGTTTTTTATTAAAAATTATATTTTAGAAAAAAACTAAAAAACGTAATAAAATCTTTAAACAAAATTTATTAAGTTATAGTTGTTTTGATTTTACAAAATTTCTAGCGATTAGAAACTTTTTGTATTTAAAAAGAAAAAATTATATAAAAAAATAAATTTAATTAAAATACAGAAATATTATTTTATTTATAATAAAAAAGAAAAATATTTAGATTTTTTTTCGCAAATTTTTTTTTTCGAATATAAACTATTATTGTGGCTTATTCCAGAATTTCTAGAAGAAAAAACTTAATATCAAAATAAAAGATTTTCAATTTAAAAAAATTCTATTATGAAAAAAAAAAGAAAAAAAATTCAAAATCCAAAATTATTTTGAAAAAGAGAACTTAATCAATCTATCTATTTGAACAACGGAAATGGAAGTCAAAAAACTTAGAAAAAAATTTTAAAAAATTAGGTGATATGTCTTCTCTAATGACTTTAATGCAAAATCAAGAAAATATTAATGCTATTTCTACTGAAATGCGAGAAGATTTAAAATTATTTCATCTTTTTTTCATTGATATACTACTATAAATCAATTAACTATCAATTCAGAACATCGGTTATTACATGATCAAAATTTAATGTATAAAATGATAAGTACTTTCTTAACTATTAAATATATATCTAAATCACTATCAAATTTAGAGAAATTGGATGATTTTTTAGTAATACAGTTTTTTGAAAATAAAGAAAAAATAATTATTTTTATTAGTTTAATATTGAAGATATTTTACTTCCAAAGCGTCGTAGAAAATTTCGAATTTTACATTCTTTAATTTCAAAAAACAAGAAAAAGTACAGAATTGAATAATAAATTTGTTTAAAAAAATTTCTAAAACAAAAATTAAACAAATTAAACGCTTTATTTCGGCTAGTTATAGATTTGAAGATTTAGCTTGTATGAATAGGTTTTGGTTTAATAGAATAAACGGTAGTAGATGCTATGCTTAGTATACGCTATGTACCCTCCTTTATCAACTTTAAAAAAATTGAATTTTATTTTTCTAACTTATTTTTAAAAACTTATTATTCTAACTTATTTTCAATATAAAGCAATTGAATTATTGTATACATTAAATTTTTAGTTTTTAACTATTTTTCTCTGACAAAGAAAAAATATTATTAAATATATTCTAGGATAATTTATTATGTCAAAAAAATTACTTATGGATTTATCTTCCATTTCTGAAAAAGAAAAAATATCTGTTGAATTTCAAATATTTAGATTAACTTTTCGGGTTGTAAAATTGTCTGATCATTTTAAAAAACATGGTAAAGATTATTCATCTCAAAGAGGTTTATGGAAAATTTTAGGAACAGTATGGGCGAGCAATAAACTACTGTAAATCTCGTCGATGCAGAACATGTGTCAAGGATAACGATATCTTAGCTCCGGTGACTTCTCAATCTGGGGGGATGTTGGTTTATGACATATAATTCATGTTCAAAGTGAAGATGTTAATTTAACAACAATCAAATTTCTGCAATGTGAATTTCACCTGAAGCTTTCAGCTCCTCGGATAGAGATTCTGTGAGCTGGGTGAGAGCAATCTTCGTTTGCTTTGTGGGTGCATGCAGATCTGGTGAATTTTGGCCCCCAGATTGAATCTATGGTAGTCTGGCGTGACCCTTGCTTGTGAATGGAGAATGCGACTCGAGCACCTTCGGAAAGTCAATAATATTGTAAACTGCCACAATTCTTATCACGGCCAACAATAATACCAAGCAGAGAATCCGACTCTCCAAGCTAATCAACGACCATCAGACGGAGGGGGAATGTCATTCATTCAAGAGGAACTGCAGCCTGTGCACTGGGGGACCGCCTGTACCTGAAGGATGCTGCTGCTCTACGTCCTCTTGAGAAGGCATGGCTGGCTGTCTGCAGTTGTTGAAAGTTGAAATGTTACAAACGAGACCTGCCAAATCGACTAACAGACATCGACCTGATTGAGAAGAACTGCTGATTGAATATGGCGGCTAAAATGGGCGACTCGTGTCCCGAATACCGAAAACAACAGGGAGTTACGATTTCAAGGTCAACACTTATTACAATTTATTAGAGAAAGGTCAGATCTTGATTCACATCTGTGGGTACGCCAAGAGAACGTGGATGCACAGGGAATGAAGGACAAGTAAACGATCCAAGAACGGTTGACAAAGTGAACACTGTGCCAGTTGTGGCACAGTGTTGAGAAAGGGTGCAAGAAGTGTCTGTGATTGACTTACATCACTCAAGTCTACTCCGACAACTCTTGTGCCATCATCTACTCCCGCAGCTAACTCAAAAAAAAGAGAAGGAAGGTTGAATTCGCTAACAGGACGATGGTGTGCCAGGTTGCAGATTGGACATCTAAGATTCCACTTTGGTAGGAATCGAATGCTCCATGGTGGTCTCGACTGAGTATGGTGACATTCTGGGGGCGAAAGCAAGCCGCACTCGGCCGTATTTCCAAGAGCACAGCTCAGGTGTGCGACATCTACAGCTTACGGAAGAACCCACTCTGTCACAGTTGGGTGCTATTCACTCTTGTACATAGATCCAACTCTTGTGCGTCCCACCTCTCGAAGAGGTTTGCAGGACGCCAGGTTGCAGACTTGTGGAACATGGAAGATCCCACAATCAACTCGTGAGCAGGTCCACAATAAGCTATAACGTGGACTTGACTGCCAGGTTGCCAAGAAACTTAAGGTGAATCTAGAGAGAACTAGAGAAGTAGGGTTCACGACTAGCGATGGCTGGCTATCATCGGCCGTCTTTTGCAGAATCAGCTCGGATGTGTGAAAACCATCAAAACGATATTTACAGTCTATAAACACGAGAGAAAACTTCGATTTGCCTCGAGAGGGGCGAGGCGCTAAAGAACACTAAAAAGAAACACTGTCTCTTTGATGGTACGAGCGATTGAAATTGAGCTCTGTAGTAACCGAGCGATCTTTCAACTGGTGGGTCCAGCGTTCGAAGTCAAACGTGGCACTTGAGAAGCAGGAAGTGCATTGAAACTCTTCGTCTTGGCGTACAGAGACGAGTAAGCGCTGGCTCCTGCGGGCTCGAACCATGCACCATTGATGAACAGATCACCCACGGACCTCCAGTTGCCACCGTCGTTATCAATGTGCTTCGTCACCTGTACATGGAAGTCGAGCAAACCAAATCAGCACAGTCCCGTGCGCAGGGCGAAATCGTCGTGCGTCCACAACTGGAGCTTATTCTGAGATTCAGCGAATAAAAAGATCAATGAATGATAAATGGACCTATTCTATGAATCTGACAAGAAGGCTATGACAGTTTACGTTCTCCCAACTGCAGCTGTTCGTCGGAATGATCTAGAGCGTGTCGAGAGTCTAGTATGGTCTACTAATCAACGAACTGACATGTTCTGCGAATTTCCCCCTGGCATGGTGAAGATGGGAAATCTTGGGGTGCTCCCATGCGCTTCGATTCGGAGGCCCTAAACTGTCAAATTACTGACACTATTTAACGCATCGACGATTAATTTGCCTCGACGTGAACCGTGCTTTCGTGCTCTAGAGGAGACTTACACATTTCTTGTCTCCTGCTTCAAAGTGATTGCTCTCGCTGCTAATTGTTGGTGCCGCACTGCCACCGATGGCATACATGTCCCAGCTCTTGTAGTAATTGTTGAAGACGTGGAAAGTACCCAATCGGCATCTGCATATGAAGAGAAAGGTCAGAAGGAAACTGTATGGCATCGTGTGATTCGGAATAGGGCGGTGGCACGTGAAAGGAGACGAATTGAGGTCTGCAGAGGATGGAATGGAATTGACAGCGTACCTCGGCATGCGCTGAATCAAACCGGGCCCAAAATAGTTGAAGGCGACGGTGACTTGCATGGACTTGTCTTCCCAGTCGTTGTCGTGAGCTCCCAAGAGCATGACCTTGTCGTGGTTGCTGAAGTAATTGTTGGTGATGGAAACCTGGTCAGAACCGTGAATTACATCGAGAAGTCCGTCGGTGCAGCTGGACAGGGAATTGTGGTCGATCCAAATGTTGGTTGCAGCGTTCACGCCGATGCCATCACCGTCAGTCTTGCCTCGCTTGCCGACATGCCATCGAGAGCTTCGCACCTCTGCAGGTCCGGTCGGCTTGCAATCATGTATATGAATTCCATGAATAATCACATGCTCGACCTTCTGGATAGTGATGCAACCCTGCGTAATGTGTACATTTGCACCTCTACCATCGATGGTCTTGAAACTTGTCATGATCAACTCATTCTTCAATTCTATCTGCATGTCCTTCTCAAAAATGATCCACAAAGCCTCATTCTGGATTACAGCGTAGCGAAGAGTTCCCGGACGAGGATCAGTTGGGCTATCGTCGCTCGAGTCTGTCACCACGTAGATAGCACCGTTCCGACCTCCGATGGTGTTTTTCCCATAGCCAATTGCGCAATCTGCCAGTGTCTCGCGATGAGCTTCCCAGTTCCTGTCACACATCCAGCAATCATCGATGGGATTGCCCATCCCACAACCATCCATCGGGTCGAAGCTCTTGGTGTACAAGAGCCCTCTACTTGCCTCATCCACTGTCGAATTTACATCCAGCCTGCAATTGAACCAAATCGACCAAGAATTAGAGGTGAATCGAGTGACAAAGCTGAAGAACACAAGAACACCATCATTGCTGAAGGTTCAGAAATTCCTACCTCGGCCATTGTCTTGCATGTGCAGCTACAACCAGTACGGAGAAAACTATCGCCGTTCGTAGTGCCATAACTGACGCTGAGGCTCAATCTGAGACTGAATCTGAGAACTGACGCTGAGACTGAATCTGAGAACGATGAGTCGCAGTTTGGCTTAAAAGCTGGAAAAATTCAAAACTCCGCAGCCTGCGCACAATCCCGCACGCCCGCTCGCCTCTCTCTCTACGAGCAGTACTACTTTTTAGTATATCGCTCGCCAATCACTGACCCAATCACTGATCGCGGACCTCTTCGGAGTGTATTCAGAGGGTCATGGCACGGTGAATACCCATCTCGGTGGCTAGGGAACCGGAGAGAGAGAACTGGGAGAGAATTCGACGGCGTGTTTTGACCTTTAGCTCCATTATTACGACGCAGACCAGTAGTGCCCTCCGCATGCATGAGCAGCAGCTGCATCCTCCCTCCCTCACTGAGCTCTGCCGCCCCGTCCCGCCACATGTGCACCAATCACTTTTAGACTATGCATCACGATGTATATTTTTCAATGAAGAAAAACCTCAACATCGTGTAACTGTGGCGAGGACCGTTCTGCCCGAGAAGAATCTGAGCTCCGAGTCGGATAAAGGAAAAAGCCAAGATCTCGAATAAGATTAAGGACTAAGGAATTCATAATGAAAAAAAAATAAAAAAAATAAAAATCAAAGACACCTGTTTAATGATCGAGTGATTATACTTCAAACAGAGTAAGAAAAAAAAGATAAGAAGTACAATTTTGCCTCAATTTTATGTTTGGGAAGGACCTCGCGAAGAATTACTGCGAAGGGTTGGGAGTTGAAATATAGTTGTGTATTTTTGGAAAAAAAATATGTTTTACTAAAGCTCAATGATTTGGAGAAGTTTTTGTTTTTGTTTTTATTCCTTTAATATATAATTTACAATTCACGGACCGTCGAGCGGCTCGGCGAGCGGCGACGGTCCAGGCTCCGAGCCTTTTCCGGCGCCGGGCCGCTCGCTCGCCTCGTACGAAATGAGGGAAGGCCCGGAAACGAGCGCGGTCATAAATGCGCCGACCGTCGACGACGGACGCAACCTGCACGGATCACGGGATCCGGACGAGCCGGTTGGAAATCCCCGGGCGAATATTCCCAACTACCATAACGATCATGCAAAGGTGCGATTTCCGATTTGTTCCCCCAAAAGTGAAAACAAATGGAGGGGAAAGAATGTGACGAGCTCTGTTGACTCTCCCTCTCGATCTCTCTCTCCTTCCATTGCAAACTTCGCCTGGTTCACAGTTTCCCCTTCGTCTTCAACGTCGTAGTAGCCAAGAGCATCGGATCCCGCTCTCGGGCCCTCAAGATTGTGGATTCGACATGTGTGACCCTTGCAACGAATCCATGGCCTGTCTGTGGCAGATACATGCTGCCTAACACCCACAAGCCCCTCCCTCCCTCCCTCCCTCCTGCACTTTCTGTCTCAGTACAGAACAGTACAGTACGTCGTCATTGTGTGGAAAAAGGAACGGGCGGTCTCATGTGCTGAAAGCTGTTTGTTTAATCGTATCGGTTCTTATTTCTGATGCACTTTCTTTGAATGATCGCCTGATCCGAGCCTCGCTGACCACATGGCCTACACAGCACACCCGATTCCCAAGTGATGCAGCGGAGGAGCCACATTTGCGGAATGTTGGTACTTTGCAACGAGCTGGTGGCCCCTCGAAAGAAAATTTGACCATCTATTAGTAACATAATACATATATATATATATTATTCAATATAACAACATACACTAAATACGAATATTACATTATATTTTACTATGCTTATGGATACGCTCTCTAGTTAAATAAGATAGTTGCTTCGAAATGAGGGCAGTTGGCGAGAATGCCACATTTTATTTTTCTATCATGGACTTGGGTGTTGTGTGAGTAACTCTTCTAGGCTGGAAATTCAACTAAAGCATCCTTGGTCACAAACAAGAATCGATATTCTTGTTTTAGAACAGATATGTTGAAACGAGTGGCGTGATCCTTGGTAATAAGTCTCCTGTATTCTTCTAAGATCTCAACACCCACATATGTAACTAAATACGTTACATGATTTCTAAAATCCAGCACTCCAAGGTTCTTGAAGGACGCCTAATGTGAGGATTCCATCATAAGGATCATCTTCTTTCATGTTTGTCTTTTAGCATCTACGGTTTCTCACATGGTTTTCGGACAAAGGATTGCACATCGTTTTATTCTACACTAGAAAATATATAAAACAATCGATTCTTTATTCCTTCGATGAATACTAGAAGAGTCTACGACTTTCAACGTGTGTTCTTATATTTTAGACAGAAATTAAAATTGACCTGAACATGTTTGTATTCTAGAAGTTTTGCCTGTACTGTACTCTATCGACTGCATAATCTTGCTAAGGATAGGTTCACAATTATTCACGAAGCTTAAAAGTGACCGCTGGTGCCGAAATCGATTGCACCTGTTCTCGTCATGATGATCGCCCTCGATGAAGTGCGATTGTCAACTCGGTCGCTATTATCCAGAATCCAGATTCTGGATGATGTTACTTTTTGAGTCAAAATGGTGTAAAAGCAGGAAGATGTCTGTATTAGACACGAACTTTTATATTACATGGTTATATGATAGACACGTATCGGTTAAGTGGAAACAACTTTCTTGGGCTACTGTATCTGAAATCTTTCGATCACGCTGGAGATTCTTTGTCCTGAAAGAAGAACTCACAGCTCAGTGCCCTCTTTTAGAGAACTCAGAGATTAATCAACCCATGTTCATCACATGCTATTGACTTTTATCCGATTGAGAATGTCGAGCGTCCTAATAATGTGTTGAAGGTCTCCCCTGATCCCTTTCAAGCTCAAACCAAGTGTCGTCTATAAACATATGAGGTCGCTTATGTGCATCTAAGTACATCATTCGTCTTCTTTCAAATTGATGCATGGCATCTACGGACAGTATGCTGAATTCTGTCCATCTCTATTGAAGTGATGATGGATATCTGCAAAACGATAAGGCTACACCTTTTGTTGGAGAAACTTGCCATCCCCTTTTTCTGCATTCTTGGGATAAGTATCTGCTCAAACGATCAAGCCATAATGACCCAACAAGCAGCTGATTGGAATTGATACACAGCGGATCGACATCCTTACTGAACACGTGCGGCCTTTCATAATTAACGCATGTTTGTTCAAATTCAGTTCCAGGTCTTCCTTCCGAAGCTACTGCAGTTCGTTCAGTTGCACTCTGTCCACAGAGCCCTTGACTTTCCGTAATCATCAACGTAGTACCACACTCAGGGAAAGGTTTGGTCAAATACACAGTAAGGTTCAAGTCAATGGAAGCAGTAAAACTCGCTCTTAGCATTGGTCTGCGCTTAAGCAAGCGCCCATGATTAAAGTTCAGGGTCTCGATTCAGCTAAAAAAAGGAGCGAAATGATCACCTGGGCTCGTACTTTTCATGGACGGAGTCCATGAAAAGGTCGACTCATTTCCATATGAGTCGACCGCCCGAAGTTCCAGCCGAGGCAGACATGAGTCCCTTTCCCCAGTTTTCGTTCCCTGATTCTAGCGCCGCCTTTCTTTCTCCGCTTCAGAATTCTGCACCTTTCTGCTTTATACTGGAACCAAATTTAGAGGCCCTCTAGAGTTGACTCTCCATCATGCTCTTTCTAAAGTTGGCCTCAATTTTAGTGAAAGCCCAGGTATGGAAGGCTCTCCCATCCCAGACTCCAGTTCCGATTTCAGCTTCACCGTTGACACCAATTTTAGGACGCACTTCATCGTGGACAGTGATTGAGTTGCCAAAGACGGCGACGACTCGAGATCACATCGAGCGCAGTTGTGGTAGCCTGCAGCCTCTTACAGGGGTTGCTTCAAATCTGTCGAGAATATCGAAACGACATCGAATCGAGCTGCGTGCATGCAGGTACTAACTGATCTCGGAAGAATTCTGAAGTCGAAGAGCTTCTACTGGAGGTTCCAGAAGGAGCTCGAAAGGCGCGAGGACAGAGCAGATGTGCCAAATTGCTCCGAGCATATGTTAGACTTGCTGGAGATGATTTTCTCCCTCACGGCAGTAAATCCACTTTTTACCCAGAAACTATCTGCCAAATGATTAGTGCCGGATATTAACGGGATTGCATTACACTCACGAATTAATGGTGAACATGTTTAAGGAGTCGGATCGGGTCACCGAAACATCTATTTCTGCATTTTTAAGCGTAACAACTTTCAATCTCAGAGTTTTAAGCAGGAAGCTCAGTATGTGGAACAAGAACGAAGATGTCTGATTTATTCATGAAAATCATGAGCCGTCACATCGCGTGGGGACAAGTGAAAAGTCCAGATGACTCGAACCGGGAGACATAGAAGAAGGAAGAAGGGGAGTCTTGTTCTTCCTCTTTCACATGGATCGATCTGATAGAGAGTTTTGCTGGAAGAAGATCGATTTCCGCCTGTCTGAAAGGTCATCCTAACTACCTGACCGTCTGCCCACGACGATGTCGTGGGCAGACGTGCTGAACGACTATGCAAGATACCCCCTTCAATACCGCCAGTGAACAGGTCACCTTCATTCTCGACAGGATCAGACCTACATCCCATGAGTCCCCACTGCTTTCTTCACTTCAGCCCATGTTCTTCTAGGTCTTCCTCAAGGGGTTGGAAGAAACTTTCCCCTGGCTGTTTGCCTTTTTGCTTCGTGGGATCCTTGGGACTGGCCCAAAAGAACATGCTCGCAGTTTGGCACGTGTTGGCTATCACTATCCTGCATGTACACACTCCGATTTTGAAATGTATATGTATCAAACGTCACTACCTTAGGCGGACGACTGGAATATGGAGTGGGCAGTCCTGTGGTCAAGCTGGGAAATTTCCATCTCAAAATCTTCGTGTGTACACAGAAGCTGATGAGTGACGCTACTTTTCAGCTGTACTGGGAATGAAAATACTCAGAACATAGCTCACAAGCAGATGATTACTTCTGACTAAAATCCAGGGCGAACTGGGTAGTCATCCTTCAAGTCACGATGCAGACTACACGACTCTAAGTTCTTCACGTCTGTTTGTGTGATTAAGAGACCTTCAAAGATAGCACATCAACACAAGACTACATGTGTTGAAATGATACCTCCACACCAGACAGCCCGTACCTGACGAGCAATTCCGACAAGTTCCAAGATCAATCCTCACATTAATTCACAAATTTCTACTCGCTACGAGTTATGATCATTATGTTTCCTGCGTCAAGGCTAAAATTTGTCGAGTAGTTACGTGTACCTTACCAGGCAAGTCATTCCCCACGTATCGCCAAACACTTAGGCACCTCTTGGTCAGCTGCATAGTCAGATGATACTAAGAGTGTACTGTAATGCTCTCTACTCAGTGCCTCCTTGGATGTTTGCACAGGTAATAACCGTCTGTCCGCGCTAGTCGACATAGATACAACCCCGCTTTGCTATACCCTTACCTCTTTGCGTGTTGCGATCTTTCTTCGTACTGTGGAGAAGAAGGTCGTTTCCTTCTTTTATACCGTTTCGAGGGGAATATTTTTTTCATTGACTGCCTATTTACTTAGACTTCGCATGGTATTCGCGGAAGACTTTCATTCCAATAACGACGACTTCCGTCAGGAGCTTTTATGTCATAGATTTATAAGCATTTGAAAAGTTTACTCTGAAATGGAGTCAATTTCCCCCAAAAAGAAAGTATGATCAGGTGGTCCATGTGACTCCATACTCTTTACTCAGGCAGAGAATGCCATCAAAATTGATAATTTGTTACAGAACATGTTGAAATACTTCGCGAGGAGGAAAAAGACTTTCCTGACTGTGCTCTTAATTGAATAATCTGAAGCTCAATCAGCAAGTACTAAAAGTTCCTCAGACTGCTGCGTGTGGAGGATGGTTAAAACTTTATCTCAGCAGTTCCTGAGAACACTGAATGCTCGAAACTCCTCAACTTCTGCCGAATAGAGTCTACACACCTGGCAAAGAATGTTTGGACTATACTCTACTCTGTCCCTAGTTCATTACGGTCCCTCGGGAGGATACAATGCCAGGGAAAGAGGGGCGAACAGCAATCAAGGGATCTCCATATCCAACGGGCTCTGTATAAACAGACAAGGGAGCAGTGTTAATACAAATACCGTTCCTACACATGATTTGGGACCGTAATTTGAAGAAATCCATAAAGTAGGAAGAAAGTTACCTCCATCATCCCACAACACCTTCACGACTTCTCCGGATACTTCAGACTACACAACCAGTAACGCAAATACTGTCAGAATGGTACATAAGGAAAATGAACATATTCCGTAAACAAAGTAAATAATCGACAGATAACTGCACGCTATAAATTACGTCTCGGAGACCCCCAGTATAAGAAAAGGTACGAAGTCGTATGCGTTGCAACAATGCGTCATCCAGTTAATACTATGAATACTAGTTAGCAATATACCTCCACGGGTTGTTGAGTCCCCAATTGTTCCAAGTAGCACACCACCTGGCCAGATTTGATAACTAGTCCCTGCACATACACCATTGTAGGAACCATTCCACGATGAGCTCTACGTATGGAAGGTTCTTGACTTGACTTCAAAGTCAAGCTCATAGCGGGCTCTTGAGACTTCAGAATGGCAACAAAAAAGGACATTAGAAAAATGAAAAATAGGAGATAACAACTTCACCTCCTCCACCATAGGCTTGCTACTTTTGCCTTTGGCAGTTCGTCCTTTCCGAAAAACACCGACCTGCCCATCCAATATATTCGACCATTTCCAAATTAAGTCATTGTCGATCGAAATCATCAAACCAATTGTCAGAATTCTTGTAAGAATGTAAACTCGGAGAGGTGCGCAAAAGGATGCAATCTACGCAAGGGAGAGATCTTACCTTCGGGGAGGTCACAAACAACAGGCCTTCATCGGCTGCAGCTTCTAAGAGCCCGAAAAGAGATGCAGTTTTCGAGAAGCTTCCCGTCATTGCGGTGATAGAGTTGTTAGACTTCGGGCTTGAAGAGGGAGCGGCAGTGGGAGCTGGCGGTCGGGAATCGACCATTGGCTTCGTGGGCACAGGCGGAAGAGCCGGTGCAGTTGCTGGAACTGCTGATCCCTTCAACTTTCCAACGTCTCTTCTGACGTGAAGCTTGAACTCTCCAACCTGTACAGAACTCTCATAAGTAACTTGCCAACCAAAGAAGACTGAGACGTAGAAACTAGCACCTGCAGTGATCATCACCAAGAGAGAATATGAACCTTGAATGCTGAGATCACGAACTATTTCACGAGATTTACTCTTGTACAACAAACAAGGAAAGCAAATTTACCTTCAATTCCAGCTCAGCAATGCTTGTCTCGTCGCAAACTTCCATTAACAAACTCTGAATCTGTTAAATCAGAATATCAACATCAACTTTCAAGTGATTTAAGAAAAGAGATCCGCACTGTTCTAGCCTATCCTCGAGAATGTGATACGGACACTGCGGTATGACCATTCCAATACTACACAAAACAGCACGAAATCTTAAGTTTCGATAGTTCAGACATGAGTTGAAATTCACCTCAAATGTACTTGGAGAAGGGAGACTTGACTCTTGTGGTTCTTTTGGCTCGGGAACGACGTCCAGGAGAAGTCCTGCAGAAGGACGGTACAAACTCATGCTTAGAAATGTGGATGATAGATAACAACATATCTTGAGCTGGTAAGCGTAGATAATAGATACATTTCAAGAACAAATTAGGAAACTACAGCCAATAAGTGTTTAGTCCTCTTAATACTGGAACGCAGAAAATTTCACTTACCATCAGTAGCAGGACTGACGCAGTTAATCCGAGAAACTTCATTTGATGCTCCTCTTGAAGGTGAAAAGCTTGCCTTCAAATGTGCGGGACATGAGCGTACAGTGACTAGTCTTGCAGACGACCTGGACCTAACATCCTGTGCAGTAGAAAAGGCATGAATCTGCTTCAAACCTAATCCTGCATGGTCATTACGATTCGTCCTTTCATCAGTACTTTCGTTTGCATGTTACGGAAGGACAATTTGTCTTTTTCTAAAAGTGTCCTTGTAGAAATCAACTGATTGTCAGAGATCTGCAGGACAGAAGATTCAAAATTGATGACATTCAACAAGCTAGAGAACCCTGGAGTGTCGATCGAGACAACAGCGGCCGTCTTGGAATAACACAACTGATCGCACGATCGAGTGAAGGTCGGTAAAACGGCTCAGAGGCTGTCACATATGTATTTTGTATCGAGATTCATCTTTGAGAGATCATTTGATTCCCCGCGTAGACGGCAGATGATATATTTCACGAAGAAAGCATTGTAAGCAGAATTTTCCGAAACACTTCATTCAGGCATTGGGATCCTAACACATTACAAAAAGCTTCTATAAAAAGATTTTATGTAAACGACATTCTTCGAGGTGAAAAAGCACCTCACGAAATAAGAGCAATGTAAGAACACAGACACTCACTACAAGAGGAATGAACGGGATCGAGCAAGACGATCATGGCCTGCTCTAGGTTTTCATCGACAAAACGTAAACAGTTAAACACTACAACGCAAAATGTACACTTCCAACTCATGGAGAATACCATTCGTATCAACATAGATCTAACTCTGTAGATACTGCAGAATTTCGAAGACTAGCAACTCTGCAGATGCGATCAGGGGGGGTGTGAAAAATACCAGAACCACATGAAACAACAGTGGCTGCAGAAGCCATCGTCGTCCTCTTTCTGCACCGAAGAACCCTTCACTGCCCGGGATCGGCTCAAATCGATCGATCTGTATGAGCTGACGCGCCTCACCCGACGAGAGAATGCCTAGAAATGATCCGCGCACAGTCGATCATTGATCGATCGACGAATTGCTCGAGGTTCTCGATTCGTGATCGATTCGTCTGGAGGGGAGGCCGTCGGGCGGACCAACCAAGTGATCATTTCTCCTCGTGGCTTCCGCCCCTTGCTCCGCTCAATGGCATCGAGACACGTGGGCATAGGTTTCACTTTGAACCCGCGCCACGTCGCATAATTTCAGCTTTTACGAGGCCTTCATATGCTCGGTCACGAGTCTTGGGTACCGAATCTGGTGCTTCGACGCTGACATGTCACTCAACTTTGTCTACGTGACCTATCTCATAAGTTTCTACTAAACTCCACGTAGGCATCACCTCGTGCGAGTTGTACAGCTAGGCAATTGTGAAGGAAGCCCCTGAATAGCAGACCAAAAACGAGTTGAAATGTGATGCGCGTTGGTGACCGTTCACGACCAACAACCATCGACTTTCCACGACTTTAGGAGCCCAGTCCAGCCAGGAAAAGAACATGGGCAGGCATGGAATAATCAATGCCATCAGTGTGCCTCGAAATCTACTTTGCTAAGCAAGTAAGTGCTAGTATTCAGCAAAGGTATCCTTCATGTCAAGGCTTATTGAGGAGGTCTCATGTATTCTCTTACGGTGAGAAAAAAGTTTTCGCTTAATATCCCTGGGAACTCTATATACCATGGGTAATTGAAGAATACCTATGTCTAATGTGAGAAGTTTAGGTTGTTATTAGTTAATTCGAATCTAGAGTTCCTCTAGTTAGTTTCACTGTGATTAGACAAAGATTGACACTTTTATATATAAGAGAGGTTTTTGGGAGTTTTTTAGAACAAAATTTAGGTTTTCCAATAGAAGATCGTACGTGTTTCATAGACTCAGACTCATTAACATGAAATGCGTATTTCAGTGTTCATTCCTCAATTGCATACATTTGGAGATGGGTTCATGTTTTCGGATTACCATATCTGTGTTTCACAAACTTTAAACAGCTGGAAATCTTCTTAATAAAATATTTGAAAGCCTGATTGTCCAATATCATCATTTATGTTTGAAAATCAAAGTGCATGATTAAGTGTTCTTTATTTTTTTTTCTCAATTGTAACTTGTATGTATGAAAAATGGCTTCTGCATTCTAGTACACATACCCAATATACCTAAAAATTTAATTTTTCTACTAGTTATATGATGCCTAGATGAGTTATTGATTCTAAGATTTGACATGAAGATGGTCATACATATAATTATAACAATTCAATTATTGATAGAATGAGTAATATGTACTATGCTTTTGCGACTTCTTTCAAGACTATTATAGATCGTATATATTTATCATGCTTAACAAATTACTATTTGTGGAAAATAAACTCCCGTAAAAGTTTTCTAACGGACTTTATGACAATGTATATGTAATTTATTAGTCAAATACAAATGGAAGAAGCGCGAGAGAAATCTAGTAGGTTAGTATGACTTTTCACTTTCAAAACTGATCATTATTTCCAAGTATTGAAGCAAGATAACTCAAAGCACTATCGAAATTGATTGTTATAAAGTTTGGCTCTCTATGGCCATAAGGTTTTTTTTTCCTTCAAGTCTTTGTGGGTTGGATTTTGTGTGACTCTACAAGTAATTAGAAGGGCTCAAAACTTACATACTACAAATCTTCTTTATAATATGACCTAATTTATTTATATTTTGGATAAGCATATATGCAAACTTTACATTTTTTTTAGATTTTTCAAAACATGATATTTGAATTTCCCTTCTTTAAAACAACCAGTTGTAGCTCATTTTGATCACAAATATTAACATTGAAAACAATAACATTTTACAAAATTGATAAAAGATAAAACAAAATCTTTATTCAATTTCTTATGAAAATTTACAATAAACTTGAACAGTAGAAAAGTTTGATAAATTGTAGGATAACATTATAACAGAGATACATTGAAATATATTTGTTCATTTAAGGAATGGATCATTTACAGAAATATAAATATTTGGAATTAAGAATAATTTTTTATTTATTTTAGATAATATTTATGAATGATATTTTTTTGAAGTAAAATTTGGAGAAAATTTTACTAAATAAATATTTCATTTTTCAATCAAAGATAGTAATATTCAATAATGAGGGATTTGATATTTTGAAATCAAATTTTGGATTTTTCAACATCTTAAGAGGAAAGTTGAAATATATAATATGGATGAAACTTGTATTATTACCGAGCCGTGGATAAAACTAGACATTAACAGCAAAAAAACATTGATGAGTTGTTTGAGAGATACAGAAAGAGATAATTCCATGTAAGATTTGAATGTTTACATGTTTTTTGTTTGGGAAAGAAAAAGTAAATTCATCAAATATAGAAAAAAATTTCTATGGGAGTTGCATTAGTATTATCATAAGGAAGAAAAATTATCATTAACTTAAAAATTTAATTTAAAAGTTTTGAAGAACTATCAAGAGTCATACTCATTGATATAATGAAATCGACGAATACGATCCATTTCAAATGCAGAATAAAAATTAATGTCAAAAAAGAATATCAACGTAATCGCATATGATAAATAAATGTGAAATTACTATAAATGTAAAACTTACATTCTTTTAGTTATCATGTATATAATTACGGGTTTCATGTAAACCCCAGACTTGGAGCTGTTACGGTATACCATAAACTCGGAGACGTTACCAGGAAACGGTCGACTGCCCTCTGTCGGGTCAGCAAAGCCGATTGTCTCCACCTGCAGGTGAGACAATTCCGTTGCACGTTGGAATGTTTTCTTGATCGGAAGCCCCCACAGAGCGGCCGGATGTAACGCTCCTTCACACAACAGTCCGAAAAGGCGGGAGCTCCTGTTGCCGGTAGGCCCTCGAGCTCTGCTCTCGGCCCATTCCCGACAACGAGCTCTGGAGAATGCGGTGCTGCGATTGTACTAATCGAGCTTGTCGATGGATCCTGCGCCACTTCAATTTGCCTTCAGGTGCTGCCAATTGAGGGCTCAGGACGGCACTGTGAATAGTATACATTGATCTGCACACCGTCATCGAAAAGGGCCAAATTTCGGACCGATTCGTCTGCCCACCTGCCTCGCGATTCTCTCCACTCGCGAAATCAGACCGAATTTCGGGTACTTTGGAGTTTCTCCCGGAGCTTTAGTGGAGTAGGCATGATGAGCGATCTCAATTTTCTCGTTCCGTCGAGAGATTATCGAGAGATTGATCGATCGTTCTCGTCTTTGAGCTTGATTGTCTAGCTTCGGCAGCAACTACTTGACCCTCCGCACGTTTCTAGCTTTTATTAGCTGCAATGGAGACCCGTAGAAGCATTTAAACATCTTCATGCATGAGATATCATGTGAGTGAAGTTTTGCATCGGACAACAACTCGAGGCAAAACTTCACTCACATGATAGGCATCCAAGAAACTGGCATTTCTTTTTCTCACTACGTCAACGAGAAGTGGCGTTCTCCATTTGCTAGCAATGATAGGCGTTCGGATTTATTCCTCACCATCATTCAGCTCTCAAGCTTTCATAAATGGATCGGACTTACTGTTCCCAGCTTTTCTTCTTCAAAACTACAATGAATTGGACTCTGAAACCTTCGTCATATCTAATCCTGTGTTTCCAGACTGGAGCTTCCTGTCATTTTGTTTTCTCAAATTTGCGAAGTCGAGCATTATACACTGAAATCCAATTGCTAGATAATAGTCGGGTGAGCAAGGAAGGGTTTTAACAAGATAAATCGAGAAATGAAATCATCCAGTTTTGGATGTCCGTCAGAGGCAGATTGAAATGTGTTCCTACTTGCAGAAAATCAAGAAACGTCCAGCGTGTGGGTGTCAACTGCAACTTCCTTCGAATTACACAGTCGATACAATTCGAGTGGCGGTGGGTCTGATGATATACCCCTCCAAGCCCTTCGCTCTATACTTATATCGATATTCATTGCTGATCGAGAAACGGCATTCGATTTCCTTACGTAGATTGAGGATATGTGTGGGAAAGGCCTTAACAACTTCTCTATCCAGAAAATTTCCCTCTGTTGCTGTATTCTACACATTTTCGAGGTGAAATTTAAAAATGATGTCATAGAGACAGTACGTTAGAAAACTTGAGTTATATTGATATCAGTACCAAGTCCGGGTTTCGCATCAGGGTTTTGAAAAGATGAAATAGCGCTGGCGAAAGGGAAGGGTTCCATGCCAGTGGTTGGGGTCAGCTACAAGAGAAATAATGCGGTGATAGAAGAGATGGTATACATCATTTTGTTTCTATCTCCTGGAGAATGGTCCTCAGTTTGCACATGTATTTTCCACCATACTTGATCACAAATTGATCAACAGCAACAAGATCTGCAGATGGGGTACGAGAGAAGCGATGGCACGTAAAGATAATAATGCAGAAGCCATAGTGTTCCTCTTTAATTTCCATGATCCGACAGTGGGCTCCAATCAATCGCCGGTTTGGGAGTGAGGTTGTCTGCCTAAATATTCGGTGCCGTCTAATTACCGACGAACAGTCGATCATTGATTGATCGACGAACTTCTTTGTTCTCAATACATCTACGATTAGTCAGGGAATCCTCGGGTGAAATCCACTAAGCTAATTATTTCTCTTCCCGGACTCGAGAAACAATTAATCTTGTAAACAATTAAACATCTCAGGCACAGAACTTCTTACGGAGCTTCAATTCGTAATTTCTATGGTAAAACGAAAGATCTCATTTCTCTTAAAGCAGGATACGCACAGACAAGGGGATTTCGCCCCAAGACATTTGGACTTCCACGTGAGATCTCAAGAGTCTTAGATTTTTTAGTCCATTGTTTTCAATACAAGGAAAAATTACTTACAGACGTCCTCGGACACATATGAATTTGCAGGAAATGGCGTGGGGTCAATTGACGGCTACCTTTTACGGGCTGATTCGGGACGCTAAGTACACAAATGCAATTAAGTAAGTAATGATGGAAGCTCTGAGATGATGGTTCTATGCCTCTTTTTTATCATATGCATAATGCCTTTACTTCTTCCCTCGAAAGCTATATTTTCACCATGTCTTTTCATATAACTTAAGCCCAACTTAAGTTCCATCTGCACTTGTGATGATCGGTCTCACTCATCGTACAAGTATCTGATTGTTTGATTTGTAGGCTCTTAGAAGAGCAGCTCCCATTCTTTGCGCAAAGTCAAGCGGCACTCTCGCTTTTGGCCTACTGCCACTACATGGTCGGAGAATTCCAAGCCGCGGCCTCTCTGTGAGCTTCATAATCTCAAAATCCAACATCCTTCAAATCAATCCCCCGACCTTGAACTAAATGACCAACATCCAAGATGTGAAAGCGACTCCTCAAGCTCATGTCGTATTCAGCTTGGAGTAATAAGTTATTCTTTTCGACCTCTAGGCTGATACTTTAGATTGTTGCCGGTGGGCTATCTGCCAATCTTGTGCGTGGTGTAATCGTGACTTCTCCTTGGGAGGCAATTACATCAGACATTCCACTGAACCAGCAAGCATCGACATCTGACATTGCCAATCTGACAATCTTCGTTCATGAATCTAGATATGAGCAGCTGACTAAACTATATCCGACGGAACTCAAGTATGCCATGTATCACGCTCAGTCCCTGTACAAGGTGAGCTCCCAAGAAATCTAGTCGACATGGATTTTAACAATTTCAGAAAGCATGAAACAAGTGCAACTTACGTTCAAGGAGGGAAGAGAGTGAGAGCTGTTACTTATTGTAATTTGCTGTCTTTTCTGATTTCCGCTTTTATGCAAGCGTGGAGAAATTTGTGTATTATTATGATTTTCAAACTGCAAATTTTGGGATACCTTACGAAACTCCTCGAAGAAGCAGATCATGAAGTGAAAATGAACCGAGGGGAGAAAGAGAGAAATTGCCCAGCTCTACCATATACCAGCTCTATTCTTCTAGCTGCAATTTGCTATTACTAGAGTGATTGTCAATCTCTTGAAATCTCTAAGCTGTCGACAAGATCGTGGAGCGTTCGTGCTGCTGTGGATAACTACATAGAGAGTATTAGCATTAGCATCCATTAAATGGATGAGAACAACTTATGTGTTGAAGAATAACCAAAGGTGCAAGTATGTCTTGCAGGATGGCATGTACGTGGACGCCGGTAGAGCTTGTCTGTCTGTGGAATGCCACCAAACAAGGATTACTAATTTACAAGCATGCATACGATACGAGCAGGGAGATATTTCTGGTATCGCATCGAGAAAGCAAAATTGTGTAAAGAAACATGCAGTGACTTCGTTCAGTGTGCAACCTCGTCAAATGACTCTCGAAAGCTGATAACAAAATAAGATGGGACCAAACGGAACAAGTACAGGTGTCAGTGGAAATCATTGATACAGAATTCAAATACAGCTTATAATCGAGAACTTTGAGTTTGTCATCATCTTCTTGAGGAGCTTTTGACTATAATTACTCACGCAGGTAGCAAAATGCTGTTGGAGCAGATTGCCGAGGACGATGTTGATGCTGCTATCAACCTTGGATGTTGTCTGTACAAGGTGATCATAGGAAGGATATAGCGAAATTTGGTATGTTGTTGGTGTCATGAACGACTCCAAATCTGTCTATCAAGTCGTCCTCTCTAAATTGCTCTCACTGAGTTGATCGCTCAATATTAGAGAGAAGAGAAATGCAAGAAGGCTAGAAATAGGAATTGAGTTCTGAGGAAGGCTTTATTTACTAGAAATATTTTAACACAGGATGTGTCCTAACAAAGGGACATATCCCTTTCTAAGGACACAACCCCTACTAACTTTTGTTTCTTTGACATCCGACTAATGGTTCCACCATCGAGTTGGAAGCAATATCCAGAAGTAGATCGTCTCGTGTCAAGGCAATCTCCCCAGTCCGCATCAGAATATCCAGTCAAACCGGATGATTTTTATAACCCTTGTAAACACAAGGCCCAAGTCGAGAGTCCCTTTCAGATATCTGAAAATCCTCTTAACTGACTTCCAGTGCATTAATCCGGGATTTACATGAACTGAGCTACTGAACTAACAGCATAATATATGTCAGGTCTAGTACAGACCATTGCACACATCAAGCTTCCAGCAGCAGCTTGATACGGTATATCCTTCATCTCTTGACTTTCTCCCACTGAATTGGGAGAGTCAAGCACACTTAACTTCAAACCGGGTTCCATTGGTGTATCAACAGTCTTACAGTCAGCCATGTTGAACCTCGCAAGTTTTTCAACCAAATATCGTGGTTGGGAGATCCGAATCCACCCTTCTTCACGATTTCTGTCTACTTGCATACCAAGACACTGATGGATCTATTCTAAGTCCACCATATAGAACTCCGTTTTTAGTTTCTCTTTGTAAGAAGATGCAAGGAATCACTCGCAAGTATACAGTCGTCCACATATAATGCTCAATACACAAATGCATTCTCCTGAGAGTATATGTAAACATTCTGATCTGCATTTGCTCTGGTAAAAGCAATCTGCAGTAAGAACGAGTCAATCCTTAGATACCACTGTCGTGAGGATTGCTTCTGTCCATAAATGGACTTGTTCAGTTTAAATACCATGTTTTTCTCAGAAGAGATATTCAGCCCTTAAGGAAGGGCCATGTAGACTTCTTCATCTAACAGTCCGTTCAAATTTGCAGTCTTCACATCCATCTGGTGCAGCTCTAAGTTGTTTTGAGCTGCTAGAGCCATTAACACCCGAACAGATGTCATCTTTACCACAGGAGAAAATGTCTCCGAAAAGTCGACACCGTAAACCTGTGAGTATCCTTTCGCTACTAACTTGGCCTTGTAGCGATCCACAGAACCGTCTGGCTTGTATTTGATTTTGAAAACCCATTTACAAAAACGACGATATTGCCCGCAGGTAATTATGTCAGCATCCATGTTTGATTTTTCTTCAAAGAAGATGAATTTTCTTCTTTGACAGAATCTCCACCTTGTAAGACTTCTTGATAGGTAGTCGGCTCTTTGCGAGTCTCTTGATATGAAACTAAACCTCTATGCTTACTCTTCCTCTTTTCCAACAATTGGTCATATTTTTCGACTCTTTTCCTAACTCTTTCCCCCTTCGAAAGATAGGATCGATTGTGTGGGAAGAGGGTGAAGATGCCCCTTTGCTGTAGGTTCAGCAGCCGGGGCCTCAGATGCAGTATCTTGAATTCTGAGTTCACCCAGTAGGTGCTCGAGGTTGCGATCCGTATCATCAAGATTCTCCCGAGATTTCCAGGTGCGCCTCTAATAAGTCTTACCAAAACGGACCGGATAAGTCGCGGGAACTTGAGCTGTAGTAGGATTACTCACAGAAGGAGTGGAAGGAGGTGGTGGAGCTCGCACTCCAGCTGATGGTGTTTCCGGACTGAAGGCTCCCACTGTGGGTGGCCTTCCTGCTGGTGGCACTTCTAGTGATAATATGGGCGGAAGAGAAACCTGCAATCTGAAGCAGTAGATGAACTTGAAGGTAAATGGCGAAAGAGAAGAAAACCTTCTTGGTTATCAAGACGGAACAGCTGATGTCTGCTGATGAGGAAAGTTGGATTTCTGAACAGCAAGAGGCATAAACCTTACTGATCTGCTCTCAATAATTTTATGAGAGTCTTTACCTGTAGCCGATATCCTTTGGCGGTAAGAGAATAACCAAGGAAAATACATTCACCACTCTTAGGGTCAACCTTACCCCGATGGCCTTTTTCAATATGGGCAAAGGCAGTACATCCAAAGACTTGCAATTGGCTCAGATCAGACTTATGTCCATGCCAAAGTTTGTGAAGGGTTTTGGCAGTGGGCAGAGCCTTTGATGGAGATCTGTTCTGCAAGTAAACAGCAGTATGGATGGCTTAACCCTATTTCGCCCCAATAACCATGCGTGAGACCAGAATGTGTTTACATAGCTATAACAGAATCGATCAAAGTTCGATTCTTTCGTTCAGCTACTCCGTTATGTTCGGGAGTATCAGGTATAGTAAACTATCGGTGAATGTCGTGAAGCGTACAAAAGTCAGTAAAAGCTCAAGATTTGTATTCAAGACCAATATCTGATCTCAGAATCTTGATGCGCTTGTTCAGGTAATTCTCAGTCATCAATTTGAATTCCTGAAACTTAGCAAATGCTTCAGACTTCTTTTGAATCATATACACATGGGTATACCAGGGAAAGGTAATCGATAAACGTTATGAAATAGGTACAACCAGAGAACGTTCGAGTTCTCAAAGGTCCACAAATGTCTGACTGCACTAAAGCGAGAAGGTCTGTTGCACGCGTGGCTCCTTTGTTGGGGAATTTAACTCTGGTTGATTTGCCTATGGCACAGGAAGTGCAGAAAGGGAGAGTTTTTAAAGAACAGTTTTCGAATCCTCGCCCCATGTGTTGATGCTTCAACTGTTGCATTCTGGGCAGACTCATATGCCCGAGTTTGAGATGCCACTGGTAAGTAGTCAGCTCGGCAGTGTTGACAGCTGAATAACTAGCATTAGCATAAGCTGCTAGGGTTTTTGTAGAAGTCATGCCCAGCCGAATGAGTTTGTTTTCGATGATGCAGCGAACAATTGTGTTGCCCATCTTGTCCTGTACGATGCAGTGATTAGGCTTGATCACTAAACCCCCTCCTTGGAGAACGTGCTGAGTTAAAGAGAACAAGTTCTTGCGTAGAGCAGGAATGTGGAGGACATCAGGTATCATCCTTTCCGTTCCATCATTCAAGGAAGTTAAAACATTTCCTTATCCTAGAAGTGGTTGACGACTGTCGTCGCCTAGGTAGATGAATTCCTCATACGAGAGTTCTCTGTAATCCACAAATGCATTTCGGTTATATGCCATATGTTGTGTGGAACCCGAATCCTCATAACATGTGCGATCCGCGCCGATTGATGAGAGTCCGGTGACGAACAACCGGTGCTCAGCGTTTGCAGTAGAGTGTGAAGAAGAGCTCTCTTGCTTCTTCTTTCGACACTCTTTTGCAAGATGCCCGCGCTTCTTGCAATAGAAGCATTTCATTTTCTGGCGGGGAAAAGATGGCTTTTTTGTGGATTTTAGACGTGCTGAAGAGGAAGAGCCTGCATCATCAGATATTCTGGGCTGCTGTTCAGAGGAATTCCACCCTCTCTTCTTCGCGATGTATAGTGCTATCGTTCCGTTAGTCGCCGCTTCCTTCTTGAGGTGTACTTCTTCAAGCAGGAGATTGATTATGACGGTTTATGTGGACAGCGACTCGGTCATTCGCATGGAGCAAACGAAGGTTTGGTATTCATCAGGAAGACTTTGTAGGAGGCAGAGTAAGGCTTCTTCATCTGATATTGTCTGTCATATGGCAGCCGGCTGACCAAGAATGAGTTGAAATTGTGTGATGATGGTTGACACAAGCTCGCCTAGCTGCATTTTCAGCAAATGCAACGCTTGTCTCAAATGCAATTGATGTGGATTTGATTTCAATTCATATACTTTGGCGAGCTACCTCCAAGCCTCAGCAATTTCCTTGGCAATGGTAAAAAGTCATGGAACGAAAGGAGATTTCTTTCGTCCCATGACTTTTTACTCCCTGCGCCGGAGTGTTTCAGTCGCAGAACCGGGGAATAGTAGACCGGACATCGGTTCATATGAATGTGTCCCATGACAGGGGTGTGTACCACTGTAAGGGTCAAATCCCTACGGGGAGGTGCGATCCGTGTGACTCTCACAGCCTTTGGTCATATCCGGATTGGGTAATTAAATCCAATCCGGGACACCTCTATTCATCCATCAATTATCGATTCAACCCTTCTCAACTTTGCGTGAACTCTCACTATCATTACTTTTCTTATCTATATGATATTAGAGCATATTCTATTAACATTCAAGTACGCTTGAATCCAGACAAGCCAGAAGTAAGCTTCTCGCTTTGAACTAACTCTGTAACAGTTGACAAAGCAATTACAAGAATTTCTGTATCCCCACCAGGTTCCAAAATTTGGTTCCGAATTTGACTGATCCAATTTGTTTAATACTTGTCAGTGTTGATCAGAAGCACTTGGGAGCTTGAATTTCAGAAATTCTCAAAAATTTTGAGCAAAATTTTAAAAACTCTTGCAATTCAAACACAAAATTCCACAATATTTCATATTTCGCAAACATTTCTTAAAGTGGGATTAGTATACTGCACCACACCGTGAAGAAGGTGAAAACAAGCAGACGTTGTGAGGAAGATGACTACTCCAGGAACTTCCATACGATTTACATGCAAGTATCTTCTCAAATTTAATGGAAAACACTTTCACTCCTTGAGAGACCAGATCAGTTGGATCTTTCGAATTGAAGGATTGATGGAACTTATTGAAGTCACCGAGCTCCGGCCAATCACTCCCCAGTTGTACAACCGGCACAACTGCATCCGGCGCAGGGAGTAAGAAGGCATGGAATGAAAGAGATCTCCTCTCCTTCACAATGTTAAACAATGCGATGAAAAGTTCACAACAACTACTAATTGCACGCTATCAGATAGCAGCTGAGGCTTGGAACGAGCTCACAAGGATATATGCATCGCGCCATATGCCAAATCAACTGCATCTGAAAGAAGCGTTGCATTCTCTAAAACTGCAGCCTGGCGAGCCTACGTCAACACTCGTAACCTAGTTTCAACTCATTCCTCACTACTTGGCTGTCATAGAACAGATCATATAAGATGAAGAAGCTTTGATTTGTCTACTACGAAGTAGATTTGATGAATATCAAACCTTTGTTCGCTCCATGGAAATAAACGAGTCGTTGTCCACACAAACCGTTATCACCAATCTCCTTCTTGAAGAAGTAGATCTCAAGAAGGAAATGGCGACTAATGGAACGACAACACTATACACCATGAAGAGTAGAGGATGGAATTCCTCTAAGCAGCAGTCCAGAAAATTTGATGACGCAGGTTCTTCCTCTTCATCACGTCAAGAATCCACATCAAAGCCATTTTTTCCCCGCAAGAAAATGAAATGCTTCTATTGCAAGAAGCGAGGCCATCTTCTAAAAGAGTTTCAAAAGAAGAAGCAAGAGAGCTCTTCTTCACACTCTATTACAAACGCTGAGCACCGGTTGTTCGTCACCGGACTCTCATCAATCGGCGCGGATCCCACATGGTATGAGGATTCGGGTGCCACACAACATATGGCATATAACCGAAATGCATTTGTGGATTACAGAGAACTTTCATCGGAGGAATTCATCTACCTATGCGAAGACAGTCTTCAACCAATTCTAGTAAAAGGAAATGTTTTAATTTTCTTGAACGATGGAACGAAAAGGATGATACCTGATGTACTCCACATTCGTGCTCTACGCAAGAACTTGTTCTCTTTAACTCAGCACGTTCTCCAAGGAGGGGGTTTAGTGATCAAGCCTGATCACTGCATCGTACAGGACAAGATGGGCAACACAATTGTTCGCTGCATCATCGAAAACAAACTCATTCGGCTGGGCATGACTTCTACAAAAACCCTAGCAGCTTATGCTAATGCTAGTTATTCAGCTGTCAACACTGCCGAGCTGACTACTTACCAGTGGCATCTCAAACTCGGGCATATGAGTCTGCCCAGAATGCAACAGTTGAAGCATCAACACATGGGGCGAGGATTCGAAAACTGTTCTTTAAAACTCTCCCTTTCTGCACTTCCTGTGCCATAGGCAAATCAACCAGAGTGCCATAGGCACTCTGGCACAAAGGAGCCACGCGTGCAACAGACCTTCTCGCTTTAGTGCAGTCAGACATTTGTGGACCTTTGAGAACTCGAACGTTCTCTGGTTGTACCTATTTCATAACGTTTATCGATTACCTTTCCCTGGTATACCCATGTGTATATGATTCAAAAGAAGTCTGAAGCATTTGCTAAGTTTCAGGAATTCAAATTGATGACTGAGAATTACCTGAACAAGCGCATCAAGATTCTGAGATCAGATATTGGTCTTGAATACAAATCTTGAGCTTTTACTGACTTTTGTACGCTTCACGACATTCACCGATAGTTTACTATACCTGATACTCCCGAACATAACGGAGTAGCTGAACGAAAGAATCGAACTTTGATCGATTCTGTTATAGCTATGTTAATACATTCTGGTCTCACGCATGGTTCTTGGGGCGAAGCCATCCATACTGCTGTTTACTTGCAGAACAGATCTCCATCAAAGGCTCTGCTCACTGCCAAAACCCCTTACGAACTTTGGCATGGACATAAGTCTAATCTGATTCACTTGCAGGTTTTTGGATGTATTGCCTTTGCTCTTATTGAAAAAGGCCGTGGGGTAAGATTGACCCTAAGAGTGTAGAATGTATTTTCCTTGGTTATTCTCCTACAGCCAAAGGATATCGGCTACAGCGCAAAGACTCTCATACAATTATTGAGAGCAGATCTCTAAGGTTTATGCCTCTTGCTGTTCGGGAATCCAACTTTCCCCATCAGCAGACATCAGCTGTTCCGCCTGATCAGCAACAAGGTTTTACTCCCTTTCGTCTTTTACCTTTAAGTTCATCTACTGCTCCAGATTGCAGGTTTAGATATCACCATCAGAAGTGCCAACAGCAGGCAGGCCATCCGCAGTGGGAGCCTTCACTCAGGTAACACCATCACCTGGAGTGGGAGTTCCACCACCTCCTTCTGTGAGTCATCCTTCTACAGCTGAAGTCTCCGCGACTTATCCGGCCTGTTTTGGCCAGACTTATCAGAGGCGCGCATGGAAGTCTCGGGAGAATCTTGATGATACGGTTCGAAACCTCGAGCAGCTACTGGGTGAACTCAGAATTCAAGATACTACATCTGAGGGCCCAGCTGCTCAACCTCCTGACCCTACAGCAAAGGGGGCGGCTTCATCCTCTTCCCACACAATCGATCCTATCTTTCGAAGGGGAAAGAGTAAAGAAACGAGTCGAAAAATATGATCAATTGCTGGAAAAGAGGAAGAAGAAGCATAGAGGTTTAGTTTCGTATGGAGAGACTCGCAAAGAGCCAACTACCTATCAAGATGCCTTACGGGGTGGAGATTCTGTCAAATGGAAAGAAGCGATGGAAGATGAATTTTCTTCTTTGAAGAAAAATCAAACATGGACGCTGACAAAATTACCTGCGGGCAAGAACGTCGTCGGTTGTAAATGGGTTTTAAAACTCAAATACAAGCCAGACAGTTTTTTGGATCGCTACAAGGCCAGGTTAGTAGCGAAAGGATACTCACAGGTTTATGGTATCGACTTTTCGGAGACATTTTTACTTGGAGACATTTTTACTGTGGTGAAGATGACATCTATTCGGGTGTTAATGGCTCCAGCAGCTCAAAACAATGTAGAGCTGCACCAGATGGACGTGAAGACTGCATTATTGAACGGACTATTAGATGAAGAAGTATACATGGCCCTTCCTGAAGAGTAGAATATTTCTTCTGAGAAAAACATGGTATGAAAATTGAACAAGTCCATTTATGGACTGAAGCAATCCTCACGACAGTGGTATCAAAGGATTGACTCGTTCTTACTGCAGACTGCTTTTACCAGAGCTAATGCAGATCAGAATGTTTACATGTACTCTCAGGAGAATGCATTTGTGTATTTAGCACTACATGTGGACGACTGTATACTGGCGAGTGATTCCTTGCATCTCCTTACAAATGTCAAGGAGAAACTTAAAACTGAGTTCGATATGGTGGACTTAGAAGAGATCCATCATTGTCTTGGTATGCAAGTGGACAGAAATCGTGAAGAAGGGTGGATTCGATTCTCCCAACGATATTTGGTTGAAAAACTTCTGAGGTTCAACATGGCTGACTGTAAGCCTATTGATACACCTATGTAACCCGGTTTGAAGTTAAGTGTGCTTGACTCTCCCAATTCAGTGGGAGAAAGTGAAGAGATAAAAGACATACCATATCAAGCTGCTGTTGGGAGCTTGATGTGGGCGACGGTCTGTACTAGACCCGATATATCTTATGCTGTTAGTTCAGTGGCTCAGTTCATGTCAAATCCTGGATTGATACACTGGAAGGCAGTCAAGAGGATTTTCAGATATTCTCGATTTTGGCCTTGAGTTTACAAGGTTGATAAACCATCCGGTTTGACTGGATATTCTGATGCGGACTGGGGAGGTCGCATTGACACGAGACGATGTACTTCTGGATATTGCTTCTAATTCGATGGTGGAACCATTAGTTGGACATCAAAGAAACAAAAGTCAGTAGTACTTTTGTTAGTACTCCAAATCTGTCTATCAAGTCGTCCTCTCTAAATTGCTCTCACTGAGTTGATCGCTCAAAGAGTAGCAGTGACGTGGACGAGCGTCATTCACTCTTAATTAGATCTGAATTTGGGGAGACGACAGATAGAGCGTGAGCTAGGGGTGCATCGGAAGAAATACTTAATTTTAATCTGCAAACAAGTTCCTCTTCTCCAGGAAGCCGAATACGCTGAAGCTCTCAGCAAATTCAATGAGGCCCTCAATGTGGTGGGATTTCAGGTGAACTCACTTGAACCATACAGCCTGTCACTCCACAGGGAGCCTTCTTTGCAACGCTGAATTTATCGTTCAAAACGACTTTTGCACTGGAGCATGTAGTTACGTTAACTTTTCTTGACTGAAATGACTTGGCAGCCTGAGCTGGCATACAACAAGGCACTATGTCTTTACCACTTGAAGCTTTACGACTCAGGTTCATTTCTGGCCAGGTCTCTCTGTCTCTGTCTCTATCTCAGCTTCTTTGAACTCAGTTGGATGTTTAAGAAAATCTCTCAAGTTCCTAACCTCCTTGAACAGCATCGAAAATCTTGGCGGAGATATTCGAAGATGGCGTGCGAGAGCATCCTGAGCTCAGTGTTGGGAGGTAGGTGGTTCAAGTGGTCATGCGGATGGATTTTCATCTACTCAAGGGGATTTTTGCCTACCCATCTCTAGGATCATGATTAGCTGAATAAGTTCGTGCAGAAGAAGCTACATGATATGTTTTGCAATGTTCAATAAGTCCTTGAGGCGAGAAAGTGGATTCTCATCAGCAGCTCACGTAAATGTCTTCTTTATGAAGGGGCATGAAAAGGAGCTTAAATATAACTGACCCCTTACACACTCGTGTGGATGTTTAGCCACATAGAAGGTATGGATCTACGCAGCGTCGGCAACAGTCAGACTTTGAAAGAATCTGCACTGGTTGAAGCTTTTAACTTAAAGGTACCTTTCTTTCAAGAGGGATAAGCTTCGATGTAAAAAGTCGAGGTCACACTGGAGATGTTCCTTCAACCAGAAGTGCAAACCAGAGCTTTGCACTGCTCTGGTTTCTCGCTTGGAATCAAATGTGCAATTTCAGACTTGACTGTGGACAGCTAATAGTCTGATCGGAGGCTTTTTTTAGTGGCCAGGCTGCTATTGAGTATCTGCATAGCAATTTTGAAGCTGCCAAAGAGGCTCTTGACGACATGCCGCCACGTTCGGAGGAAGAATTAGATTGTGTATGCTCTTCTCGATTCCGGATGATCTTGCGTCGCTCTTCGCACATGTGTTTGCCCATAGAGGCTTAAATGTTTGCAGTCTGTCATGTTTACATCAGCCCATGGCATGTTGTGACCAGGGGAAATACATCGTTCTAAGTTCTTCAATTCACAGGTCACCCTTCACAATCAAGCTCTGATGAACATGGACAAAGACCCAACTTCAGGCTTCCGTAAGCTGAACTTCTTGTTGCAGGTGAAAAGCTGTGCACAGTTTGCCGAAGTTTCACAAACTTGTGTTCCTTTGTTGATGAAGTGAGAACATTCTTAACAGATGCATCCGCTGTCTGCAGAGCCCTCCTTTCCCACCTGAGACGTTTGGAAACCTTCTGCTACTCTATTGCAAGCCATCGCATGGTTTTTATGACCTTGCAGCTGATGTGCTGGCTGAGAACGCAGAGTTGGCTTTCAAATATCTTTCCCAAGTCAGTGTATCTCACTTTTAGAAGGAATCTTCTGTGATGGCATTTTTCTTCACAAATGTTGCACCTTAGTAGTCATAAGTACTCAAATGTCGTAGCTACGATGAAGTTCATCGTTGAAGACGTCTGCATGATATCCTGGAAACTATCCTGCTGTAGTTAAGCTAACTAACGTCAACAATTCAGAAGTGAAGGAGTAAAAGAATCTCATTTTGAATGTAGTAGCAGAAATCAGTGAGGAGCTGACAGGAAATGATCATTCTTTCTGATCCCAGGATTTGTATGACTTCCTCGATGCCACCATACTTACGCAAACTTCCACTGAGGTTTTCTGCTTACACTCGGCTTTTTCTTTCAATTTTTAGGGTCAGGATAGTGTACTAGGGACATCAGACACGTCTTAAGCCAAACTATACAACTCATTTGAGCGGCATAAATCACCTTCTGTAGAGCGGCTTAATCTCAACGGCTTCGACGATGAGACCAGTTCGCTTCTTCGCTTCACGAGGAGATCTCAAAATATAAGCGTAAACACTGCACGCTAAATGACTGCAGGATGCTTATAAGAAATTCAATGAGCTTGCTAACAAACACGGAGAAACGCTTCGCTGTTTGACAAAACAAATTCAAAATGCAAGGATGTCTCGAGAGCAAGATGCTTATAAGAAGGCTGTGACGAAGTACGAAGAAGCCCTTGAGGTAGGTAGCTCTTTCCTCTACCTTGTCCATCGGAAATGAGGGTGGGTTCGAACGCCTGCATGTCAAACTAAGAAAGTCTTTGTCCCTTCTCTTCGGATTTCAGACTTAAAATAACGATCTGTGTGATAAATTGTCTGCCCTTCCCAATACCACAGAACTACATCCCAGTCATTATGGCAATGGCCAAAATCTGGTGGGATAAGGAAAATTATTTACAGGTGGAGAGGATATTCCACCAGTCTGCCGACCTCTGCTCCGAGCATGACCTGTGGAAACTGAACGTCGCTCACACTTTCTTCATGCAGGCAACCTTCTTCCGATCCTTTAATGAGCATTGCAGTCAGTCCTTGCATCATGCTATCGATTTATTCAAACGATGCACTCTCTAGTGCATCGTTAAATCCACACTCATGTCTGCAGGACAATAGATTCAAGGAAGCAATTCATTACTACGAACCGATCGTTAAGAAAGCTGAGCACAATCTCTTCAATGTAACAGCCATCGTACTTGCAAATCTGTGCGTCTGCTACATCATGACCAGCCGGGTACTCAAAACTCTTCTTGTCATCATCGTCTCTGGTCTTCAAGCTTATCGTAATAACTCGATCCAAGCACTGTGTTCCAACAGGACAGCCTGAGGTTACTTCATCTCACCCTTATGAACCAAAAAGCAATAGAGACCTGCAACGAAGACGTTTTGCAATCTAGAGGCATGGCATTCTATTGAAAAACACGAGCAGCGCTTGCACTTGACCCTGCATTGCTGATGAGCTTTGAGTCCACAGAATGAAGAGGCGGAGGAGCTTATGAGAAAGATTGAGAAAGAAGAAGAAAGAGCTCAATACGAGGTCTGAGCTTTGACCCTTAAAGAAGCTGGGTCATGTACTTCAGTCAACATGAGATCTGGCATTTGATGAGTCAAATCACAAGTTGATACACCGACCATATGTGGTCCTTTCTTAGGCAGATTCTTTTATATTGCTCACCAGTACTTCGTGTCTGCATCGTTTACATCTGAGTACAGGGTGTATGATCGAATCACCGATTTGACAGCTTGATGATTCTAATAAGAGGACTTGCGCAAATGATAGCTCTACTTTGGGTCCCTCCCTTTCCGTACCCTCAACTTTCACTGACTAAAGTGATCTTTTGATTCATATATACTTGCGACAGGATCCAGAGAAGCAGAACCTTCATCTGTGCATAGTGAATCTCGTGATTGGAACTTTGTACTGTGCGAAGCAGAACTTTGAGTTCGGCATCGGCCGGATCATTAAAAGTCTGGAGCCATATGGCAAGAAAATAGAACATGACACTTGGTTCTATGCCAGGCGCTGTTTCTTGGCTCTTATCGACAACCTCGCCAAGCAAATGATTGTGGTGAGTTTCGAAGCACCAGCAGTAACGACGTCCTTCTAACAGCAGCTTTCAAAAAGTCACTCCAGACGATGAACGTGATGGGCCAAATTCATGGCCTGTTCCTAGACCATCTCAGATCCGAGTCGGCTTTATACTTTCCAAGTACGCAGCACCGGCATCTTAGACACACTTGTTCGATCTTCCACAAGACCGACCAAGACCTTTTCTTACAACTTTTCATCATCTTGTATTTATTGCACCAACCGGATATATACTTTCTTGGAAAAAATGTCCTTCAAATTTATCCATGTCAGGCGGTAGCCCTGGATGACCCTCAATTCGGAATCTATGTCTAGATTCAGCCAGCTTGACGACGAGAATCTGAAACCTGTGCAGCATATATATATTGAATAAACTAGTAAAGCTTGGATATAAATTTGTGGTGATTCTTCATGTGGGATCAGACAGTCTTCTTTGGAGGAGAGAACATAAAAGCCTTCTTAGCATATACTAGCATCGAATGTAGATTCCGACTGATCGTACGATTTGTATTTTGTATTTGTGTTGGAGCAGTTGAAAGATGCTACCTATGCCGACATCGACGCGTTCATGGATGCTGCAGAGCTATACGGGAAAAGCATAGTCACTACGGACGAGAAGAGCAGCGTAAACTCGGCAGCTGTCTACTCTCTAGCAGCGCCCAACCTCGTGGCTGCACCCGTGACGAGACGAACTGTTTCTCAAGAAGCTCGGATGCTCAAGTTCATGTTTCTCAAAGCCAGAGACTGAAGGCCCATTCACACTCTCGAGCACTGTACCCTGCCACCAAATCCACCCATACTCTATCATTCATTCTCGTGGTAAAGAAAGAGAACCAAGAGTTGCAATCAGCTGTTCAGTGGATGAATGTGGCATGTGGCATGTGGCATGGTAGTGACTGATTTCCCTTCCCTTCCCTTCTCTGCTCTGCTCTGCTCTGCCTCCTGTGAGAGGCAATTTTACACGGAACTTGTCCCAATTGCGGGAGGATTCGCTGTCCTCGAGGTCAAGCCAAGATAGAAATATCTTGTTGCGAGAAAGCCAGAGGGGAGTACGACCATTGCTGCCTCGAGAACACGACTGCTCCGGGAGAGAGAGAGAGACCGAAGCTGAGCTCCCTCGTTGCGACCTCAGTGGTGAAGTCAAAAGAGCAGGTGGAGCTCAGACTTCGACCGGGGCCGTCAGTCGTCGACGAAGTCTCACTGATCCGTTTACGTTTCTCGAGGACGACAAGAGCGACAACCGAAACAGAGCACGATGGCGATGGCGATGGCGATGGGTGATGGTGCACCGCAACCGTCCGTCCGTTGCTCCGTCACTCGTTTGGACCACGTCTGACCTCGAAAACGACTTTCGATCCGACGACGTTGACTCCATAGAAGCTCTCGGCGAAGGGGTTCAACTCCCGAGCTCCCTTCGCTCGGAGCGGAATCAGTAGTTCCACGCTCTTCGTGCCTTCTTCTAGGAAGCTACGAAATCGTGCGCGTGACTAATCACGTCACATCCGCTCGCCACCACATTCATTCAGAATGGTCTGAATCACTTCATTCATTCTGCTCTCATTTGCTTGATCGATCGATCGATTGATTGATTGAATCTAAGTTCTTAAATCTTCGGTGCCACGACAAGCTAACCTCGACGTCGACCCCATGGCATTCTCTTCTCGGCCCTATCTCCGAAGATCGTGGCTTGAACTACAGTACAGAAACAGTCCATCCTGCACTTGAGATAGGCCATTGACCGAGAATCGCTGAAACTTCCGAAGGCTAATAATTACATGAACCCATTTTTAACACTCCCCTTGGCCTCCCTTCGTTGGACAATTCTGCGATCCCTGTAGTATCATGCGCATCGTCATTGTGATCATTTGATTTCTGATCTCGATTCTGAGTCTACGTGCGTTCTGGAGAAAAGCACTTTTCCTCGAGCTGTTGAAGGAGGTTTGAAGAACTCCGATCGAGCTCGTTTCCTTCGGAGGATTGGAACGTGGTCATGTCTTCCCCGAATCGACCCACGCAAACATTCGATCATGCTTCTGAATGCACACAATTCGGGACAGTGCTCTTCCGGGCTGCTCGGCGTGGCGTGACATCGTCGATGGAGTGAAGAAGACCTTCACTCCACATTTCACACACGTGAAACTTCGCACTGAGAATCTTGTCCTGCCCTCTGATTGAGTGGATTTGTATTCTCCCACCGATTTATTCATTTTCTATCAAGAGAAGTACTCTATTCATTTTGCATTTGTATTATAACTTAAAATCATAATCAATTCAAATAAATGAAAATATACTCCATTCATATCAGGGTCAAGAATAATCATGATGAGGCACAACTAGCTGCAGGATACGCTCGTAAAGCAAGTTACTCGAGTTAACCGCTCGTGGACATCAAGTCGGATGTTCAACTCATGCTCATGATGATTTGGCAAATGTGCTCGATTGATTCAACTAGGAGAGAGTGATATTTATACCAACGATGAGAATGTGAGTTTTATGTTAAAAGGTGAAATTTCTTCAAATGATGAATCTTGGGATTTGTTGAACAGACTTAAGTGGAATGTTACAATGTCCATTAAGATGTAATCAGTAATTTATAACAAAGCTTGAGTGTTAAATGAATTTTTTTAACTACTGGTGGACAATAATAATATGTACAAACTAAATGATATGCTTAGTGATGGATTGCAAAAGGTTTGATAGTTGCTAAGCAAGCCTACATACTTAGAAAGATATTAATAATGAGGTATATTGTTGCAGTTATTTAATCTGTTATTATTCTTTTGTTGTATGTACTTGTAACTTTGTTTAATTATATTTTAGATAAGATCATTATGACTTGACTCTGTAGTTATTTGGACGAAAATATCTTCGAGAAATAGTATGTGGATTTTATGCCATATAGAGATTTTTTCACTAAGATAAGATCTCAGCACCAACCATACCACACTTCATGTATTGAAAATTTGATATTAATACTCATAAGTACAAGGATGGTTGATTTGTCATTTCCAATTAACACATTCAAATCGTCATTCATTATCTATCAAACAAAAAGTTCTTTACACATCATCTTTATATAATATAATACATAACATATTCTTTTATATATTTTGTATTGAATTAATCTTAAAAATTTTAACTTGAACAATGTGACTGTCAATTTAATCAGTGAAACTTACTACCTTCATTATATTTGTAAATGATGAAAATTATCACCTAATGTTAGATGCTATGAATGTAACACGCTAGGCAGAGATTTATCTACTCTCGTGATACAACTCCAAGGTTTCATGTGGATAAATGAAGCTCTGTATAGCAAAGTAGTTCATTTCAGATAGCATTCGGAACAATGTAATAAATGCAATACTCTTATTGATATTTAAGAAACTTATTTTTAAAGATGATATTATGATCATCAAAAAAATAATTTAATTATAATTCCACTTTTTTCTTTTATTAAATATCTTTAAAAGAAAAATTTTGTATCATCATCTCAAAAATCTTTAATAAAAGATTTTTGAGATGATGATACAAGATTTTTACTGTTTATATCAATAGCTTAGTAATGTTCTTAATTTTTTGACTACAGATATGTATATACAGATATATATATATATAGATTTTTGAGATGATGATACAATGACGATTTTAATAATTTTTCTAATACATAAATATGAATATGTACATGATGTCATCACTTTTTTCACAATTGTAGTAAGATGTGATATATCTCTTTTTACAGTTGTTCAATGGTGCAATGCAAACAGCCACAACACAAATCAGAAGCCGATAGAATAGATCAATTCTTCATCTTTTTTGGACTATGTACAAAGAAACATACTGTTGCTACATTAAAATTCTTAATTGCTTCACTAATTAAACATGTGTAAAATTTCATCATATCAAATACATATATGATTCTAGTAGAATAAACATATGAAATATATATATAACATAATTTTTTTAATCATTTGCAATCTTATAAAATCATTCAGCCAATATATTAAATATTAAATCATACAATATATTAAAGCTTGTAACAGACTTCTCATAAGTAACACCATTTATTTGTATGAATATTTTGGCCAACAATTTGGCCTTGAACATCTTTCAACTCTGTAAACGAGATTTTACTTAATATTATGAATCCAATTACTATTCAAAATTTGTTAATTTTTGGAAACTTTATTGATTTTATATTTTGTTATCAATCAATGATTACATCATTATTTGTATTGTTGCATTTCACTCATTTCAAGTCTAGACAACAAAATTTTAAGATCATTACATGAAAATATTTCATTTTTTATTTTTAAATTAAAATCAGAACACCATCATCATCAAATAAAATATTATCATCTCCTAATTAAATTGATTACGGTTGAAAAGTTTGCCATATTATTCAATAGTACAAACAAAACATCCAAACATGTTTTTCATTGATGATTTGCTTCATCTTGATTTGTAGTCGTATGTTGAATTCTGTCATTTTTGAATTTAATCAACTTGAAAATTTGATTTTTACAAGAAAATAAAATTTTGGGTCTCATTATAAAAATCATTTTAATTTATGTTACTTTCAGCCATATTTAAAGTAGATTTTACTTGTTAATATGAGGATTATAAGCTTTGTTTTTGTTGTTCAATGATCTGAATTCATTTATCAAATCATCTATACTGAAGATTAATTTGTAAAAAAATGAATTTAAAATCTTAGCCAAAAAATTCGGAAATTTTTTATCTTCAAAAAATATGTAAGTTCTAATATTCAAATCCAATTTTGACTAAATTTGTTTGTTTGGATATAAGTGTATTTGCATTTCATTCATAAACTATCACAACCTCTATTAATCATATTTCAAATCAATCTTCCTCATGTATTCAATCATCTTAGAAAAAAAATAATTTATACAATGAATTGTACTAGAAATTGTTTTTTTACAAATGAGCTGTTATTTTATGATTTTTAGTCAAAATTTTAAAATTGGCTTAACAACTTTTTGTAACCTCCAATAATGTTTAATTGAATTTTTCAATAACACTATTCTATTAAAGATCATACATTGTAGTGAGATGGCTAGTTGATCACAACTACGGACAATCAACTTCAAATTTTATAAAAGATGCATTCTTTGTCGTTGTCTGCTCGCAAAGTTTTTACTTTCTCGCCCGTCTAAATTTTAACTTGGATTTCTAATTTCTTAAAACTGAAAAAAATTTTAGAGATTTGATGTAAAAAGTATATCCATATCATTTTCATATATTTTTAAATAAAAAAAACATAGTATCAGTTTTCAAAATGTAAAGGAGTAGGAATCAGCACTACATGTAACTATTTTCATGTTCTAGCATCTCTTTGGAGAAAAAAAAAATAGCTTGCTCTAAACTGAAGATTAGGACAAGCTTGAATTTGATAGATATCAATTTTGATTTCAAATTCATGAGGGTAACGATTGGAAATTTCTTTCTTTCTAGAATTTATATGCAAATTTCATTTTAAGACAGTAGAAATTTTTTGCATAAAATTATTTCTTTAAATTAATTATTAGAATCTAAATAGAATAAGATTTTGAATTGATCATCTGAATTAAAAAAAAAAACCTTGTAGTAAAAGCTTGCTAAAGACACTTAAAATCTAAAAGAGTGCTCACATGAGAATCAATATGACATTGTGAGCTTAGAGTGCATTGATTTTAGCAGTAATATAACTATCAAGGAAGCAATGAAAAGCAGAGAAAATAAATCTAAACTGATTTAAGCAGTAATAAAAATTTCAATGAAGTAATGAAAAGCCAAAGAAAATAAATCTGAACTTATTTAAGCAGTGATAAAAATTTCAATGAAGTAATGAATAGCCAAAGAAAATAATTCTGAACTGATTTAAGCAGTAATAGAAATTTCAATGAAGTAATGAAAATCCGGAGATAATCAATCTTAATGTAGAAGGGACTGAAAGTTCATAGATCAATGCTACTCCGTATATAGCAATAAAACTACATGCTACAAAACAAACCCCCGACAGTGAATTCTGCTGACTAGTGTGATAGCTTCTGCATTCTCTCAGAGAATGCAGACAGAGAATTTCTCTGTCATAAGCTACAATCCTCATAGGAACGCTTGTGGCTAAAGCGTTTGACTCCCTGCATTTTACTATATTTGGAAATCATTGTTGTTGGTGTTGCAGCACTTGACGACCACACAAGAATATGGATAATCAACTTCTTAAGAATATAGTAAATTGTAGTATTGTAAACACGATCATGTAACTAGCACTTGATTCTCTAACACCAAGTGTGGATCCATGCTAATTAAATACGTGGATAAAGCTGGGATCTCTTTCTATATCTTTGTGAAAAGAAAATCTCTTGCATAGTTTTTCTGATAAATCCATCCTTGAAGAATGATGTATTAGCAATCAAAGAAGATGTCAAATACGTTGAAAGTATTAATCAAGCCAAATCCACTTGATATTACATATATCATATTGAAACTAATTCTTAATACTGCACATCAAGTTGACATGTTGGTTTCTATGCAGTCACAGCGTAATCGACGTCAACCAAGATGATAGTGATACCACTTTCAAAGTATTTCGAGCATGATGAAATTGCATGCATTTGTGAGGATAAAGGAGGACATTATTGTCCCAAGTAAAAGCTATCAACTTCAAGAAATAAGTTGTGGAACTACAAGTAGAAACATTTGTTGCGGTTGGTTCTGTTGCAGTGAGTACGCAGTTGGTTCCGAGTCCCAACCGCATCCACGACGGGAGTCGACGGTGCAGACCGGGTAGGCTCTTCTTCAGTCACGCACAGTCAGTACAGTGGACCCGGTTTTCGTGTCGTGCGGGCCGCGCCAATCCGAATTGTCGGGGGGCGGATCACTCAGCCCACGATTGCAGACATCGTGAATGTCATCATAAATCCACGTGGAGGCCGAGGGATTATCCCTTCCTTCGAGTTCCCCGCATCCACGTCGATGTGGCACCTTCGACCAAAGAAACCCTGCCACGTCTCGCAGCATATCGAGACGCCCGTCCTGCCGGGGATGTTCGGGACCCGAGGGATGACCTGTTCGGCCCGTACCAAACGGGGGTCTTCCGGAACAGGTGACCGACTACAATCGAAAGCAACCGGCGAAAGTGCCTCTCGCCCGGTGATCGATCGTCTGCTTCTCTTCTCGGTGAGGTGGTGCTGGTTCTGGGCGTACTGACCCCCATGGAAGAACGTGTTGTGGTGCCGAGAGATGGTAACCCGAAGTCACGATGGAACTTGCTTTTCACCTGCTACGAGCCACTGATTACTGTGCACGGATTTCTCTTTGTCAAATTCTATTTTGACTGGAAAAGGAAAAGCAGTTTCAATCGGTTGTTGTGGGGCAGACTTTCTTCCCCAAGACAATTACTCGAGGGGAGGGGACGTAGTCAGGGTCATCGAATTTTACAGAACGTACCCGATGGAGGTGAGAGGGAAAGGTGGTAACATACTGCGTCCCTCCAAGGTACCACTTTTGTCTGTCCCTTGGAACTGACGAGGAAGGCACTCCACTCACCCTCACCTCACCCGTTTGATAGATCTGGCTGAGTTCAGTTCAGGGGGAGCTGTCACATGTGAACTTCCTGAGGTAGTTTTGCAGTTGGGCTATGTGAGGTAGACCTCCCTTGGAAGCCACGGCACTGGGCGGTCACGGTGCTCTTGATGTCATGTCATGTTTGGGGAGATCCGTATTATGCTTTCTTGTAAGAATGAATGAGTGGGGAGACTTCACTTTCAAGTTGGTAACGAAATTCGAGTGATGCCCAATTATTCTTGTCTCGTTGCATCCTCTACGTTCAACTGCGTATGTATACGTGCAGAACGCTTTGTTTTGGACTCTGATCTGATCGGTGATGCTTCATCTATACCGATTTTTATCACGGGAAATGATCATCATGGTGGAACAGAATGATGTACCACGGGAGAAATATGGACTCTCTTCTATTCTTTCGACCTCTGGTCCGGTTTATATTGCCTGCTCAGAAAAAATGTGATTGCATGGCAACTTTTATTCCATGTCTCTACCTCATTGTTTTAAAATTGGCCTTGGAGGAGGACCGTCGGATTGAATGGGGCTGTACCTCTGGATGCGTGCAGGAGGAATGTGTACGGTAGAGTTTGATGATATACTTGAGTTACCATATCAATATTCCTTGAGAGCTTTTCTTCTGATCCATTTCCTAGTTTTTGTTATTGTTGTTGCTTAATGTGCCCTGCTCTCCACTAGAAGTTAGCTTTGTAACATCCAAGACGAGAACAAACGAAACCATTCAAGATGTTCAATATACCTTTCGAAACTCCAGTGCATACAAATATACTCGCCCAGAGTCTAAATCAAAAGAGGACATAATCCAGATAGCTGTACGACTTTCATACACCTTATGAGTACAAATACGAAGGCGTAGAAATAATTCAGGAAATAAGTTGGTCCTTGAAAGATGTATGCAGGAAATATTTGGGAGGGACAGACTTTGTCTATGATTTTGACGCGTAAATGGCGGAGAGGAGCCCCGCCAGATGATGTCGAGCTCAAGTCAAACGGCCAAGACGAGCGAGCACGCATCTCAAGGGTTGAATCATGGACTCAAATAAAATCCCCATTTACAACTAAATTAATCAATAAAGCCGCGGGGCGAGTAATGACCGGCCAGCCAAACAGAACACGAATGGAGAGGTACAGGACGTACTGCGACGACGACGTAAGACCGGAGGCCACGCCGGACGGACGGGCGGACGAGATACGGTCGCCATACATCGGCGGCCAGCACCTGACAGAGGGAACCGACAACTGACGGACGGCCGGTCGATCGGGACGGAAGTACGAACTTTGAATGACGATCTACGGACGGCCCTAAATCTACGGGCGCCTGACGGACGCCGGACAGAACAGCGTCGAGCGTCGAATGTCGTAAACCTCCCGACGTCCAATAAAGGAACGGAGCCCCTCTCAGGCCCGAGCCGCAAATGATTTCCCAGGCCGCCAGATTTGGCAGAGGTTCCTGGTGGCTGCGAAGTCCGCATCCCGTGTGACCGGCGGAGCTGGGAGGCGAAACCCCGCCAAATCTGGCGGTATTTTCACCGCTAGTAGAGGGGAGTTATATATCCGGCCTTTCATTCATTCCTTCCTTCCTTCCTTCTTCCGGTTTGCGGGAGGGTTTTCTTCGCGGGTTCGATTCGCGGCCGGGCGACCTTCGAGGGTTTGCGGCAGTGCAAGTTTCCGGTCCGGCGAGGCGAGACGGGAAAGGGCGAGAGCGTGGGCCGGGCACTTGCGTCCCTTGCGCCATGTGGGCGAGGTCTTCATGTGCCGGGCGCTCGGTCCCCCTTGTGGTCGAAGAGTGAGAGACGGTCGCTCGCTCCCCCGCTCCCAGGCTCGCTGGCTCTCGTTCCGTTCCTTCGCCTTCTTCCCATTCTTCAACGAGAGAGAGATCTCACTCGCTTTCCTTTTCGAGTGGAGATCGCGACTGCAGATCCGATCCCATGTCCCGTGCTTTCCTTCCAGGACGAAGCAGGAGGCTGGCGCTGGTGCTGCAGGCGTGGGCATAAGAGCGCAGGCAATTTGGCTGCCGAGGACACGCGCGACTTCCTTCCGTTGTTGTTGTGGCGGGTCGGTCGCTGAGTGAGCTGCGACTGATGCGGATCGGCTCGGTGTGCAATTCGCCCTTAGGTTGTGTAGATATCGGCGTCGAGGTCGAGGTCGAATTGCTTCCCCCCGTCGTCGGGTCGGGGAATCAAAGGAGGAAGGAAGCGACGAGGGAGAGGAGGTCGGCGTCGTCCATCCTGCCGATCCGGATTTGCGAGAGAGGGAACGAGGGAGTCGGACGGGCTGAGAGAGAATTGTCTGACCCCGTCAGTGCTCTTCACGGAGGAGGTGGTGTCGGTTGCTCGGCTCGGGTGTAGATTTTTGGATCCCGACGAGCGTTCGTGTGGGGCCGTAAGGTTCTGTTTCCTTGTTTCGCCGGCCAATTCGTGCCTCGATCGATTGACGGTGGATGGGCGGAAGGCAAGTTGCGGCTTCGTGATTTCGTGGTTTCGTGGTACGCCTCCTCTCCGCACGCATCGTCCATTCTCGCCATGAATGGCTTGTATGTAATGCAAGCGCAGTGAAGACGGTCCTTCCTCTTCGCTGATTCTAGGGATGGCTGGCTGGATGGCTGCATGAATGCATCAATGGAACGAAACCCTTGTTGTGCCGGCCAGCCGAGGGCAGGATTGACTGGATTCTCTTCAGGCGACCTCTGATTTACAGTCGAGGCATCCGTTTAGGAAAGAGAGGGTGGATGATGGGATTGAGGGTTTATGGACCTGAGGAAGGCAGGCAGTCTGCTGTGGGCAGTGCAGTAACCGATCCTCGTACAGATAGAAATGATTTCTCTTGTGCGATCCATATCTACTCGTGAATGAAGCCACTCGCGGATGGTAACTGCCGTGAAGTTGTGGATATGGTCTAGTTATGGAGCGAGAAAACTGCGAGAATTTGGGACCCGGAGGATGGATGAGTGCATGAATGATTTGGAGTAATGTAACGAGTGATGATTTCAGTTTGTTGCCATAGATCGCCTTGATTGTATGCCACCGAAGTGAAATCTGTTCGCTGCGCGCTGGCATGGGGAAACGATCGTAATGAGAGGCTTGTTTAGAATTTACTGTCATCGCTTCTGCTCTCTAAAATTCTGACTTTCCGAGTTCTATGCTGTAAGGTTGCAAGCTTATCCGTCCGGCTGACATCCATAATTGCATTCTTTCCTTTCAGACGGGCTCTGGACTCTCCAGTAAGCAACCGGGGAAGAGATTCTTTGCCACGGAAGGATCGCGACGGTGAAGAATTCTGATGGTGGATAGCCGGAGCTTCAGCCTTGTATCAGTCTGCAGGGCTTTGGAGCGCAATATGGCTAACTCCCTGACTTTGACAGATGGTAGCCCGCAGCATAGACACCACAAACATTCTCCTAACCACCGCTCCAAGGAACATGTCCTGTCCCATTCGGTGTCCCCACCTCTATGCGATCAGTCGTCTGCTGCCGCTGTCGATATCATAATTCTGCTTCTCGTGTTGGGTGCTTGCGGAATCCTCTTCACTCCCTACTTCAAGTATGTGGCACACGAAGCTGCCGAAGTGCTGCCAGCGACTTTTCTTATTATTGGAGAAGTTGTTTATCAAGCACCCATTGCATATGCATCTGGAGCCATCATCATGTTCATCTCTTTGATCGGAGCTTGGGAAATCTACCAGTACAAGTCCAGGAGGTGTGACAACCCCCACTGCAGGGGCCTCCGGAAGGCCATGGAGCTGGATATTCAGCTGCAGACCGAGCAGTGTGTGAAATCCGGACCTCCCGTGGCCGAGGAGCTGCCATGGAACGAGGGAGTGGAGATTGGACAAGATCAGAAGGAGCTCGAGGCTGAATTGAGGCGCATGGCTCCTCCGAATGGCAGGGCGGTCTTGATCTTTCGAGCTCCCTGCGGGTGCCCAGCTGCTCGTTTCGAAGCATGGGGCTCCTCCAAAAAAGGGCGAAGATCGAAGAAGTGAGAATCAGCTGCGAGGTTACGACAGTTGCCTGTCGGAAGGCGCATCTTAGCAGCAGTTTTGACGTTCAACTTATTGCATGTTCCTGGGCGTCTGTAACACGCGATTCTCTGTGTGCTGCAAGACACCGCGTTCGATCACAAGGACATTGTTGAGAGTTTTTTCTACGTCAGCGAAGTCGAGACAAGTGACGGTGTTTACTTTCGGCATGAACGATTCGGACGATCCAGGTTGTCCTCCATGACAATTGTACGATGGTCTTATTTCTCCGAACTCTCCATAATTTGTAATTACCGAGTGCCATCCGCAGAATCTGCTGTCTTCATATCTGAGATCTCAAGGATGTGTCACACTGGTGGCCCTGACCAGATCTGCGTCCTCCCCGCATTTCATGCTTCCATGCTTCTCTATCGATTTGCCGAGCTAGGACTGGTCGAGATGAGTACTGTCCTCTCTTCTGCTGTAGAAAGCAAGCAGGCAGGGAGCCCAGGGGTTCTGATGCGCGTGACACTTTATGAACATATAATTTTGCAAACTTTTTTCTGCGACATGTCTACAGATCACAACGCGACACTGCTCTTCAGCGTGTGTTCCTTGGAACTCATCGAAATGCCGATTTGAGTGGATATAGGGGAAACGAAGATTTCGTTTCGTCACAATGCCCTCACGCTCCAGTGGCGAAGTTGCCAATATGTTCGAATAGCTATCCCCCTCGTACAACACACATCTTAGAAGGCAAGTGTTCTTTCTTGAGCTGTCTGTTGATCCTGGGCTGTGGCACCCGAGTATTCTGCTGCTGTAAGCAGCTGTGTGGTCAGTGTGAGGGGGAGTTTATGGTGAATATATTCGATTGTATATTCATCAGACTGTGTTTGCGAAAGGTTCGGCGGAAGCAGAGCAGGCCATAGAGTCTGCCAAGGTACATACTGCTTCATCGAAGTCACGGAATATCTTGAGCATGGCGGAGAGATACTTTTCCTGGCTGTTGAAGTGCCCTTAGGCATGTCAAAATCACCAACTTTCTCGGATCCCGCTTATTACTCGAGCAGGATATAAGCCAGAAGGAATTTTGGTTTTGTACATGCTCTGCCCCATAGATCTTTTAGCTAGTATATAGTATATGGACATACTGCTCCGTCCTCGTGACTTCACTATAAATGAGCTGATTGATTATAAAACAGGTCTGTTGCCCTGGAGCTCAGTAAATACATGTGATTGTACAGAGATATACATTTTCTTGCAAGAAGAGGAAATCCTCTCGGCTGTCTCAACAGCTGCTCTGCCGAAGGCACTGTCAACGCGTAGACTTTATCATCATGTATATTCACATCTCTTTATCATCCAAGTTTGCTGAAAGTTCATAAGTCAAGTTCACCTTCCCTAGACGTTTGTGATGAAGCTGCTCTACCGGAGGCACTGTCGCCACATTGGCTCTATTATCATGCATGCTCACATTTCTTTGTCATCCAAGATTGCTGAACGTGTTCTAGTTGCGGAAAGTATTTGAGTTTCATGTACCTTCTGTAGACGTTGTTGTCACAGAAGCCTGTCACATCGCCAAATTCGGATTTCCTGCCGGACCAACGAGAACTCTCTCTAAGTGGGGTCAATTCTTGGGGTATTCATTCGAATGAGGCTGGTTGAAATCAGCTTGGTGAGTTGGTTCTAAGCGTGCCAATCGTTGTTGTTGGGTGCAACCCTTTTTGCGGAGAATAGAATCATACTCTCTGTTCAGGGTAATCCTTGCTTTTGACAAGCGGTACATGGATAAGTAGGCTGTGTTTTCTTTGTGTTCCTGCATTTTGGTTTTTGACCTACATATCGATTTTGCATTCATATACAAATCTTCCGCGCATATGCCTTCTGCTAATTTTTTCTGCTTGAGATGAACTAGTTCACTGGTTTCTTGTCAGCTAATGATTATACTCATTTTTAGTATCGTTCTTACATTCGTTCTAAGGTGCGAAACATTTCTCGAGGATCTTGTGTCTATCTTATCCTTGTTCGAGATGTGATTTTCGTACAAAGCACCATCTTCACCTCGTTCTCCACAGCATCATATCCTGAACGGTTTAACAGAAGGCATTAGTCATAGACTCTGGTCAGAGTTTTGGACCATATATGTGGCGTAAATCTTGTGATCAGTAGTTCGTAATCTCGTACACGTTCTTCTCAACTAGTTGACAAGACTACGTGTGCAGTGTAAATCTGTTGCACATGTTAGAAGTTTTACGAAATCCAGATCGTCTCTTTCGTACTGGTCTACGTGAAGGCCCATCAATTAAGGTAGAAAACGAAAACATACGGGCTGATTTTAGGCAGAGGACTTGTTGGTTTTCATGTGGATTTCATCTGATAACGGAGTGTTGTGACTGGGCTAGAAGCATAAACAGCAGTGTTGTCGCTTCTTTCTGTATCCCTAATCAACTTGGAGTCCTGTAATAAGGCTGATCAATGGTCAGTAGGATCTTCGTTCTACTACAAGATTACGTCTAACTGTGGAAACAATTTGTTTCCTATGTCTCCTAAATTTCCAGTAGTGTGGAATGCCATTCTCTAGCGCTTGTCCAATTAGCCACCACAATGCAAGGCATGGGGCAGCGCAATGATTGCTTTGCAAGTTGGTACGACGTTAAGTGAATGCGACGATTGTATGTCCGAGCTACACCTGTAATATGCAAATGGATCTGATATAGTTCGACAAGTAGGGACTGGAGGAGTTGGATTCTCCGTGACGCTGATGCTCCCAAAAGAAAAGCCCACACGGGAAGTTAAAGTTGAAGGACACAGTCATTCCTCGTGCTGGTTTGGTTGTCCATGAGAGAGGAGGCCTGGAAACGAGGCCTTTCTCGTGCACATGACCTGTGAATCTGGTTTGTCCCCTAGTTGGAGTGGTAAGTTGTAGGACGGGCGCCTCTAAAACATGTTACATGTGAAGAAGAGAGGCCTCTCAGCCATCACACAGAAGAAAGTGAATGGAGGTATCGTAGGACTTTCATGGAAATCTCTTCCCTGGCTACAGGAAAGGGACATCTGGCAAAGCACCCGATTTCAGACTACTTCGATAGGGAGTTCACACCATTGTGTAAATCAAAGTGATGTTGAGGCTGGACCGTATCCACTCCGATGCCTCACAGGACAGGGATTTTGGCATGCAGGCCTCACTTCATCTCGAAAAGAAGGAAAGAAGAAGTGACAGTGACTGCCAATGCTCAGCTGTCACTGGCCTATCCGACTTGGCAGCGCTTGACTGCACAAAGAACCGCGTAAAATGAGCTCTGAGCAGATGAAATCTCAGAAGAAAAGTCCATTTCCATGGAATAGAAAAAGGCGGAGTGGTGAGCAAGGGTGGAAACTTTATTTAATGAAGTTCTGCAGAAATGGAATGAGCATAAGGGATCAGAACTCGTGCTCTATCTTTTGTCCTGCTCTATGATTTTTACAAACCACCAACTCCGTGCTTTTCAAGTGGTACATTTAATTTCAAAGATTTCCAACTGGCATGCACTTGGAGAGGAACATGAGTGCTAGCTAAGTGAGCTTGGGGTGATCGCTGGAACATGAGAAACGTTCAGGAGCACTTCTTTTGAAGCAGAGCGCATCTTAAGCCAGCACTTCAATTATGTGATTCTTTTTCTCTCCACCGTCTTGTAAGTAATCTCATCCTCTGAACACAACTGGCCTAAGCACAAACAGAACCAGAGGTCGTGAAGCAGCATACAGATGTGAAAGAAAGGTACTCTTTGTGGGAGATTGCACATGAAGGCTATATAATCGAATAGACCCTGAGTGAGGAAAATGATATTCTTAATGTGGCCATAAATAAATAAAACTGTCTAGAGCAGATGGTCTCATAAACATGTGTGCATATTTGGTACCCGGTGGAAATTCCATCTACCAAAGAGTGATTGCACGAGAGTGAAGGGTCAGTCAAAGGCCATCTTCAGAATAGGCAGGCAAGGTCGCCCATGGTTTACAATAAGTCGACAACATCTCTTCCATCTCCATCAACTCATCTACCGAACAATGAAAATAGTCCAAGATCCCAAAAATCAGAAGTGTGAAAATGTAACAAGGAATTGAACCGTTCCCAACTCCGACATTAAAGGAAACGACGTCAGCCCAATGTCACGGAACGAACATTGACATTCCACCTGCCCATATGGAGACACGTCCTAATATTGGGCAGAAGATCCGAGACCAAGATTCGCTGCATCTGAAAACATCCGCAACTCGGACGATCGGAGGAGCATAGATGAGCAGACACCGTCCCCTGCACATGATCAGATCGTGGAACAAACGAGTAAATACATGACGAGTGATATCACTCATTCAACTACGTGTGAGGCTGAATGTCCAGGAAGAAAGTAAGGGAAGTAATGGAAAATGAATAAAGTAGAAATTATGTTGAAATGTTCATCTGTCATTCGGTCATCTGCTCGCACTGAAGAATCTTCCATTGCTACTCAGGGTCCATGAATTGCGTACATGCGTGACATTCTAAGCTTTCCATGTGTCATATGACCTCCTTGGCCAACACTGACTGGTCAACACGTTCAGTCTAGAAGCATTCGTTGGATGTCATCATTCCTCCTCATAATCGGTTTGTAACATTGGGCAGCAATTATCTTACAGCAAACGTATAAGCAGTCAAATCTGATCACTAAGTTCATCTAAAGAAATGACAATTTTTTCATTTAATAAGATGGATTATAAAGCTTCAGGGGCATGATATCCCCATGTCTTCATGTAAGAGGGTCGATGGAATTTGCATGAATGGAACAAAAAGCCGAGAGGAAAGAGTCAAAAGCCATTAAAAGCTCGAAAGAAGTAACAGATATGAAGGTCAACGGAAGCTCTCGTATTTATGTACATGTGACATAAGAATCTAAAATTGGAGAATTTGTCAGCACAACACAATGTCAACGATGGTTAGATACCTTTAATTTAGCCTTCATATCTCTTTGTCCAGACAGTGTAGACCTTCTTCAGGACTCACATCTACAGGGGCATCTTCGTCGTCGTCATCTCCAGGTCCCCTTGGATTTGGGTTAGGGACAAGAGTGATAAGATCCACAACATGATGCTGCCCATATCTTTGTGGATAAGACTATCCACAAAGCTTCGCTTCTGTCTCCGAACCATTGGAATCGTCCAAACCTCAACAGTGATTGCTTCTGAATTTTTCTTGTGCTCTTCGGAAAGTTTAGGATGTGATTCACTGTCCAGAGAAAATTCTCAATAATCCATGAAAAGATTCGATTGTCCAAATAATGTCGATTTTTCAACTCTTTATTGATGTTATCTGTAGATTTTACAAGCAGATGTTGACGTATGTCAACAGCAAATTGGCAGGGAATCTTTCTCAATCTCGTGATACTCATAAAGTTAATGAAAACCTGATTGTAATAACCTGCAAATTGGTACTCAATAGTAATTTTATTAGATCAAGAACTAAGCACAATCTTGTTTTCCAAATTATATAGTTACTGAATTTGATCATTCAAACACTCCAATTATAGTAAGATTCCAAATAGAACTCAGATGTCTAACTTCTCTGTTGGATTCCAACTAATATAATATATCAGTGATATGTTTTATTAATTCTATATGAAAATCAGATTTTTTAGGTACTTTTGTATAAATTTATTCTTTCATGACCATAAAAATCTACAAATTATATATTTCAAATTGACTTTGTTGATCTAAATTTGATCATACTTGAAAACGAAGTTACATGAATTCAATGAAACATATTTAGTTCTACTTTAGTGTAAAAATTTCAAACCAGGTATTTTTTAAGAAAATTCAACACTTGCATATGTTTAGGTATCACAGTTTAATTGATTTAATATTGCATAATTATTTCCAAACATATATATAGTACACAAAACTGTTTTCTGTGAAAATGACAGTAGAAAGCCTAAGTTTTTATTACGAAAGTTTGAACTAGGGCTACTAGTTGAATAAATTTTTCATTTTAGCATTGAAAAGTCGGTCCATAGCAAAATCTTGGTGCAATTTGAACCAGTCAAAGAAAATCATAGTTGATCTTCTTTAACTGAAAAATATGATTTAAAGTAAGATCAAGAGTAGATATTCATTATGATGTTTTAAACTAGAAATATGAATTCTTCAGCTATAATCATGTTAACAAATTGAAAACGTATCATATGTATGATGTTTCTTGAAAAACATATATGCTATGTGATGAAACATGTGTGTAAAATAGTTGATTTGTATGGTTCTAATATAGGTCTTAAAGCTGAGTGGAATTTCAAGAAAATTATGCTTGGAGGGATATCCATTAAGTTAAAAAATATATATATTTCTAGTTTATACAGCTTGTGACATGTTATAATATAAATATTGATATTGAAACTGCAAATTTTATGTGGATGTTTTTTATTTATATAGTCATATTCATTGATCACAGAAGATTTAATCACTTTTGATACAATTTTGTGATTAGGTGAGATTTGATATGAGAGTTTCAGTATGAATATGTGTTATCACTTGTAAGATAATGAAATGTGTAATTATATGTCGTAATTCATACATTGTTACTATGTAGTTCATCTTAAATTTGAGTGTATATTATCATCGATGATACAATGATCGTTACACTGAATTGTGATTCTTAACAATTACAACATACATCATGTTTGATTTTTTTTGTTTTGATGTTACTGCATGAAGATATAAGAGATGCAATAGTAGCATAAGTGGTTTGATTGTTATAATGCTACTTGATTAATCACATTTTAGCACTTGATCTATTTATGTTAGTGACACATCTAATATTTTGTACTTGATGAGTTCAGTAGTGAACAAACTTTTCCCTCAAGTAAGTGGGATTTACATCTCATAATGTGATAAGAATGTATACTGTGATCCTCCATGTGTTAGTACCACACTCGTCACAATTTACTGGAACATGTTGATATTGTGATTAGTAAGCAAGTGACATTAGATCTGTATTGACTTTAGGATTGGAGTACTCAAATATAGATTTGAACCTTCTAGCACGCGAGCTATATAACATTTTCTTTTAGAACTTTTTTATAATAAACATTAGTTGATGCAAAATTGGGGTTTTCTTTTCACTAGATTTAGCTTGCCTCTTTATATGTTATCGTTATGAGAACTTTGTATTTATGAAGAGATTGAAATCAGATTATGTATCATCGCTACCTTGTGAAGACATGAAGTGAGATTTGTTACCTGATTATAGAAAATAAAATCTTATCTGGAATTATGGATGAAATCGAATAATGGATGCAGTGATACATAATTGGATTCCAACTTCCAAATTTATTGTTCAGTCTTTAAACTGATCATATCAAACATGTCGAGTTTTATACTATCATAGTTTGATGATCCCAAGGTATATTGAAGGATTGAAGTGGCAGAATTCGATCAAGACTGAGGATCCATTCGAAGATTAACAATAACTTGAATTTCCAAATAAGATCTCGAAATAAGAAATTCAATCTAGAATGAATTCTTATACTTTTCATCACTGCCAGGCCAATTCCTGTCAAACAATGTGTCGCGCTAGCAAAGTATGAAAGTATAAACAACTCAATCTAAAATGAACTGATTGAGTTGTTTATACTTATACAATTCTTTGTTTACGAAGACAGTTTCGAATCTTCCACTGTTGCACAGATGCTTTCCAGATGCTTTCCATATCTTCTTCTCTTCAGTTGCACGTCATCGCATAGCTGCATCATACGTGAAAAGTCAGATGCTGTTCCCAGTAATTGACATCTTCATGGATGCGATGAGTAGAAAATTAGTACTTCGTGCATTAATTCGAGTCAAGTTATAAAGATAATTTGTATTGGTGTCGCATTTGTTGACACTTAAACGTGTTTATCAGAGGCTCTACTGGTCAGCCGGAGGACTTAATTTACTTTTTTAATTAATTAACTTAATTTATTTTCAGATACATGCTTATGGGCCCCTTCCTTGGGCCACGAATAGTATTATACCCCGACCCATTCATCTGCTCGCTAAGCAAATAATTCTGTTTGCGCATAGGACCTCAGCTGGAGAACGAGCAGAGCAGCTGCTCGCTGAGGACTCATCAAACAAAAGAGTAGATCGACCAGCCGACAAAGTTTAGAAGTACAGGAGAAATTTTCATCAGTAGTATGAAATGATCTCTGATACTCCATTGCTGCCGTCTATTACGACAATTTTGTCGTCACATTGGTACAGAAATCCAGAACACCAGTTCATGTTTGCTCTCTCGAACCGAATCTTGCAAGAGAAGAAGAAGAAGAAGAAAGCTGGCAAGTGGGAATTGGGGACTCGCTGATCATTTCCTTGAAGAAGCACCAGAGAACATTTTATTTCATGAATACAGTTTTCAACCATCTTGCTTGGGAACCGATCATATGCATTAGAGAATCTTCTCTCTGCATTGCGTCATTGCGAGGAAACTCGAATCAGTGAATGAATGCTCTCGAGGGAGATCGAGAAGAGCAGGACTAATTCCGCTTCACTTGTGCATCCCTCTTCTTCGAGGAAAGATAGAAACGAGGCAGCTGAGGTGTCTGCTGAGCTATGACAGAACAGTACAGTTGAACCTCAGGATCTGTAGAGAGCACAGTGTTTCAGCACTCTGTGAAATTTCGCTATTCCAGGCCTCTCGAATGCAAGGGATGGAAAGCCTGACAAGTCCCTCACGCCATCTCAACACCTGGTCCACATCTACTCGGAAGTTGGACGGAAGAATCCACAGAATTGAGTACAAGTGTGGATTTGCACCAACCCAGACTCAGTGAGTGAGTATACGGAGGACCATGTCAACAGGGTCCCATTGGCCCAACCGCAATGATCTTGGAATATATCTGAAGGACCGATTCAAGTCTTATGATTGAATATTACAGCATCTGAAGACCGAGGACATTGTTATGATGACTTGGTGGAATCCATGGAGACATCGAGAAGAAGGGCGTGGATGCAGGGTTGAAGGAAACGGTGACCGAGCACGTTTAGTGGCAGAGTGTGTAGCCTCCCCTTGGATTCTAGCTCAGGATGGCTCAGGATGGCTCAAAAGTCATGAAAACACCGAGACCCGGGCCGTAGGCATGGGCCCTGCGGAGCCCATCGTGTCACTCATGTTTTCCTCGGGCCTTTGAAGCTTATATATGAGAAGGTGCATTCCAAGCTCTGACCATTCTCAAAATCAGCACGAATTTGTCGTACACGTCTCTCACGTTACATACTACTTCCATTCGATCCAATTCCACGAAGTGAGTGTGCCGATCGGTTGTTGTTCGAGAATGGCGTCAGCTTTCGATCTGAGTGTTGAAATGGCCGTGCCTGCTTCACGTCTATGGAAAGCTTTGAAACAATTCCACGAGGTTTTTCCTCATCTCGCCCCCGGAACAGGAGACACCATGGAAACTGTTGAAGGCAAGGCTGGGCAACCGGGATCGATCACTCTCATCACTTTTGGAGGAGGTAAGATCCTCATGAATTTATCTGTAGCCATCGAGGTCCATGACGATCTCCATGTCTACGGGTGCTAGCTAGAACAGGTGACAATAAATCGAGATGTTTCCGTCTCCTTGCATCAGGTCAAAGCAATCGCTCGGCTGCCTGGATGAAAAAGTCCTTCGATCATGCATGATTGTTGCATGATCGAAGGACTTCTACCTACTTCATTCTGGCTTTGCACTCGATGATGATTCACACCTGCTTTGAGTGAGCTCAATTCGAGTACCTAGAACTTCTTAATTTCATCTCTCTGCTCATTTTGATCGTCGAATTGCACACGAAGCAAATTGCTTCACCTTCTGCGAGGCTTTTGAATTGTCGTGTCACTGACAGAACGAAAGAGAACGCTTGCTGCTTGATCAGTGACAGAAAGAGAGTAGTAAGCAATCGATAGACATAGATGGTGCAAGAGGAATTTGACTCGTTAAATCTATCAGTCAATCAATCGATCAATTAGTGAATCGATCAGTCAGTCAAGCAATCAGTCATTCACTCGTTCTCTCTGTCTCTGTCTTAGTCAAGGGCGCCCCAGACGGAGCATATGCCAAGGAGAAACTCATAAGCTTGGATGACGAAGCTATGACTCTTTCGTCTTCGGAGGTGGCGGGAGGGCACCTCGTTCTGGGCTTCACGAAGTGGGGAAGCTCGACGAAGCTCACCCCGATCGGGGACAAGAAGGTGAGGCTGGAGATCAGAGTTGAGTACGAGGGCGACGGGGGCCCAGTCTGCGACATGGCTGTCGAGCAAGCAAAGGAAGGAATGCCGCAAATGTTCAGAGCAGTCGAGGCATATCTACTTTCCAACAGACTTTTCTGCTGAAGACAAGACAGTGATTGACATTTCGACCCACTCGAGTTGCCTCGGCCACTCGTGTACCTGCTGCTGCTGCTGCTGCTGTATGAATGGCGCCGCAGTCATGTGTAATCACCCAAAGTTCATATCGGCGAGGGAGGGCATGGAGAGATTGAAGCTAGCTTCGTCGTACCTGCGAGCATGTGATTAAAGATGTAGATGTTCAACTAATATTACTGCCGGCCAAAGCTTGACGTCAGTCGACATAGAGAGGAGAATCGTGTACAGATGTAAAATGTGAAGAAGAAAGGAGAAATGCCTCGATTTTTGTGTATCATTCATTCAGTCAGTCATTCATTGCTTCAACCCCTGCGATGCCATGATTCAACGCAAAAAATCGAATTTTCTACATCATCAAATGTGTCAGACATGAACGCGTTGATCTCTGACGTCGAGTAATTGACTAATCGACCTCCCGGCTTCTGCTTTTTGGCGAATGGCCATCGTGGGCTTGAGCAATGCACAAGCAGCAGGATACTTACAGCAGGATCACCAAATCTTACTGATTGACGAGCCAATGAATCCCCTTTTGTTTGCCATTGAATTTTCCAATCCGACTCATCACAACATTCATAATGATCTACTTTTCGAAGGTCCAATGGAACGCCTGAAGCTCCTAAGATTGGACCCGATAGTCCCCCATGAACTTGCACATCTCGAAGACGTACTAAATCCATCCACAGCCCACGAGAAACAGTTGGATCAGGCTGAGCGTCGATGAATCCGCTTCCACGTTCACTTGCGCTCACGTGCTCTGTTCCCACCAGTTCGATGAACTTCTCGAATGGACGGGACCGGTCGAGGATTATGAATGGTCCCAATTGTCGATCTGCTCCGACCTCTTCGAATCGATCACTAAAACCAGGATCTCATGAGATGATGCAAACCAGAATTATTCAATCGGACGTGTTTTTCCGTCAACGACTCGTGAGACGCAAAACGCCATTTAAATTACAATGAAATCTGGTGGCTATGGAGAATTGTGCGGAGTCGATTGTGGTGACCGAACCGACACTTTTGCGACTTCGTCCACTTGAAGCACCGCTGGACTGGAAAACGGGAGGGAGTCACGGGTCGTGGTGGTGATGGGATTGATTCCTGAACGGATCGAGTCATGTTTCATCTAGTTTCCCGACGACGAAGAGGCAGGAGGATGCTCTAGGACGCGTGCCAGAGATTCTATGCTTTCATCTGCTTGAGTCCCTCGTGCTGCCTCCTCCTCCTCGAGGAGTGATGATGGAGTGATGGCCAAGCGTTTGGGAGTAGATGATTCACCGATTATGGAGCAGAGATCACAGAGCAGACAACTCAGATTTGCAACTGCGGTGCGCATTCTGCAGATATGGACGAGCGATTTGTTCTTCAGAAGGCCGACCTGTGGAGACATTCAATGATCAGATAGTGGTCAAACTGGAGCGAGGGAGACGTGCAAAGTCTGAGCTCTTTGCAAGCTCATCTGGCGATCTGGCGACTGACGTCGTGATGTAATGAGGTCGAAACTGACAGCCCGTCGTTCGCTCGGTCCAGGTGCAGTTAGAAACCATGTCGCGATCTGTCAGCATGTCGCATTTTGCACGATAAGCATCGTTGCAGTAAGCAGTAAGCACCTCAAACGGAGGTAGATCATCGATCCTCTGGTCGTCGAGATGTTGAAGAAAGCGTACCGATTCTGAGGTGGGGTGGGGTGTCAGCCTGCGCAGCCAGTGTAGCAATCTCTTCCTGTTATCCATGAACCCATCTATCCCGTGAGAGGTGGGATCAGGAAGCACAAGCTGCAGAAGAGATTCAGATCTTTGACATGATGGTAAGAAGAAATGTGGAGCAGCAGAGTGTTTGCGAGCTTTGTCATGACCTCATGGTATCGTGCCAAGTCAGAGCTGCTCAGTTCTAGCTCGAAGCTGAACTTTGGCCCCACCGCTAGCACCCCAATCACAGTCAGCACCATCACCGTGAGAAATCTTACGGTAAAGATGTAGCCTGAAAAGCGTGACATGCTTCCCGATGACAGTCCTGTTCATGTGAAATCTTATTTCAAGCATTTATCAATTGACTTGATCTCGCAGCAGCCGATCGCATGCAGGAGAGCGAGATGTAGTGAGATACCTCGAGTCTGTCAGCCCATCTGCCGACCTGAGCGCATGCTGTCTTCCATGGGATTCTCAGTTCAATTGATCCAGGAAGACAAGCATTGGCTTGACCGTCTTATGGACTGCGATGCGAGCACGACGAATTCAAGGACATTCCAAGGACATCTGCCGTCCTCGAGTGGCTTGCAGAGCACAATCTTCGGCACCTTTTCAGATATGGAGCTTTGTGAATGCTTACACATGCTTGCCAACGGATCCCTGGGCTCAGTTCCAGGTATTAGAGGTTCAAATCCTTGAGTTTAATCGGGCACGAGATCTCTCTGAGCATTGGATCTTCATATTCGCTTCTTCCTCAAGTTTATAGACTCTGTGTTCGTCAGCTGAGACGGACAAGATTACGGAAGTGGACCACAAGACACTACGGGGTTTCACCACAAATCTGATCCGCCTGCCAAACTTTTGACTGAAATTTAACCCATTCAACGTCGATTTGAGGGAAGAGCATCTGATAGGTGACAAGGATTAAGCAGTAATATTAACTAGAATCCTGATCCTGATCACCTGATCAGGTGATCAGGATCAGGCTTCTTTTCCTTCTTATTCAGTAGCATAACTTCTTGACATCACCAGCATTAAATGTGTGACGTGTCAAATGAGGGGGAGAGTTGTCATTTGAATTGTTAAGGGTGGCGTCAGAAGTATCTCTGAAGTGAGGTGTCATGTTTAAAAAGGCGACTCGTTCCTATGGTACATCCAGAGCAGTAGAACTCAAGAAAAACAGGTATTATATAGCATACTGTAAAGCAAATGAAAGGCGATAAAGCTTCACAAATTATCGATCACTTCTACCAAACGGTTATGTACGGGAGGAAATTATATCCTTCTGAAGAGTATACAGAAATTCTTTGTTAAGCTGTTTCAAAACCCTTCCTGGATCTGATGACAGGATAAATCCACCAGGGAAGTTCTGGCCCCTTCTGATGACAACTTATCGCCCGTTTGCCAAGTGGCAAAGATATTCAGCACGTGCATTGAAACTGACATTTGAAGTGCAAAAACAGGAACAAGTAGATGGAACGCGAAGTTTTGCCTAGTTCATTTGTGACAGCTTTATAGAACACTCGCCTTCCACCTTCAAAAACACGGCTCAGGCTTGAAAGAAATTCTGAAGAAAGTTGATCCAAATGGAGGATTTTCATAATTTGTCACCCCAAGATCCCCACTTTTCTCCTCTACGACTTGAATACATAGCTTCCGGTTTAGTACTGCATTTGTATATCGACGCATCTGAATCTCGATCTGTCCTCCTAAATCTGTCCTCTATGTACTCACGAGGGAAACAGCTACAGCACACTAAGAAAGTGCGCGAAAAAACTGTTCAAGTTTTTTATATCCCTTGTGGTGGGTAGAGATGATTAGACGCCTGCCTTTGACAGAAGAGATTCTAAATCTTAGGAACAGTCACGCTAAGTATTTTCACGTCCTGGTATGGCTTATCATTTTTGTCAGTTTTGACTTTCTCTATAGCCTGCAAAGTAAAAAAAGTAACACAATCAGTCCACTGCAGTGATCCAAGATGCAACGATTGCATGGAAGATATTGAAGATTGAATCTACATAAGCGTTTATCAGCATTAGAAGAATTGATGTTCAAACGGCGTCAGCTCGATAACGAAACATAAATCCAGTTTACAAGAAGGTTGAGAGTGGCTTACCTGCACAACATCCATTCCTTTTACCACTCTTCCGAAAACTGTGTGTTTATTGTCAAGCCACGGAGTAGCAACAGTGGTAATAAAGAACTGCGACCCATTGGTATTGGGTCCTGCGTTTGCCATTGAGAAGGTGAAAGGTCGATCATGTCGTAAACTGCATATGCCAGAAGGAATCTTTTTATATATAAATATGGTCAAGATATAATGCAATGAAATAAAGCACAACTAGATGATAGACTGAACAAACAAACACAAGGGGTCGGACACATTGTGAGAGACTTGTTACTGAAGAAAAGGTCACAACGCAGCACAGATTTCGTACCTCTTGTGGAACTCATCCTCAAATTCTCCACCCCATACCGACTGACCTCCGGTTCCATCTCCAAGAGGATCACCGGTTTGAACCATAAACCCCTTAATGACTCGGTGGAATATAAGGTTATCATAGTATCCATTCCGACAATGGGTGGTGAAATTCTCAACTGTTCGTGGGCACTCATCTGGATACAATCGCACGTGGATATCTCCGAGAGTCGTGTGCATCAACTGCAGAAGCAAAAATGTCAAAATCGTCCTGCTGCAATCTCCTCTTATCTGCTCAGACTAAACTTCATTTGGGGACACAGCATGAACTACCTCCTGAGAATCAGGAACTATTCCCAACTAAAACCACAAAACTGAAAGCGACGGAAGGTCTCGTTTGTTATCAGCATGTCTTTCTCTTCGAAGCTTTATACATGAATGGTTCCGGGAGCACGTACCACACTCTCTGGCAAAGATGTAGTACTTGTCTTGCTGACATCTGCCAGCGCCAGAAGCTCTTCCGGTGGGGGCTTTTCGTTGAAAACATCACGACCCTTGGTTGCATCCTCCGCTTCCTCAGGTTCTCTTCGACTGCACAAGCGGCTCATAGAGCACAATAAGACGTTTACAATGCTAACAGAGGTTGCAACAACCAGTTGACATTATAACCGGATCATCGTCCTCAACATCTCACGGTGTGAACGCTTCAAAAACTAAGCTGCTGCAATACCCTTATGATACACACACCTAATTCAATCAGCAACGCGTACCTAAGCGATTAAACCATTACTCAGAAATGATAAGGGAGATGACGTAGGAGACTGTAGCAAGATCGAGGATGTGGGGCTCCAGTGAGATATTGACCTGAAAAGATAGAACCTGTGCTTTTTGAAGGCACAGCAGATCAATGTCGGATCTGTCAGCGGTTCTCGTTGATCGTTGACATTCACAACATTGGGTATTTTCTTCACTTTCTTGCCGCTGCTTCCTCCTTGATAGAGAGCAATTCTTAAAAACCTTTCAGTGTTCTCTACCTTTCCAATTATTCGAGCGACATTGTTCGAGTAAAGATTTACTACCTGCAGCATAACAATGGTGAATAAAAGGCCCTGACAAATAACTACAAAAGGATACGAGAATATAATCTGCGTCCTATGCGCGTTGGAATTTCAGCAAAGAGTAGTTTCTAGGTGCTTTCAATATGCGGACAGCTGTAATTAATAGAAATAATGCTTACCTTAATTCCTAAAAGTGTTGAATACAGTACAAAATTTCCACTCTCGTCAAAGATGGCATTAGGTGCGGGAACATCGTCGGTTTTCTCAATCTCCCTTTCTACAGCTATCCTCCTTCCGAAGTCAATAGCATCTAACCTATACAGAGGAGCGTCACTACGCTGCAGGTCTTGGGCAACCTGCACAGAATTTATCCAAAAAGTCCGGGGTTAATAGGATGCACTTGTTTAATGTCCAGAACCACCAATGACTATGAATAATGTACATTTGAAATAACACATGACCAGCAGAAAAGGCTTAACACGCAAGGTCCCGTAGTGCACAAACCCGGGAGGTACAACAAGACGGGCTCTATATACGGCGTGGCCCGATACACTGGAATTAGGCAGCTAATTTACAGGTCTGAAAAATAGTAACAAAACATGGCAATTGATACATGGCATAGCAATCACTCTAATGCGTAGAGTAATTCGGGACATAAGCATTAAGTGGCAGAGAGGGGAAGCATGCAGCAACAAACCAAGGGATGAAGTGCACGAAAAGGACATAAAATAGAACAAAGCGTGGTTACAACAACAAACTAGTGCACACGACCTGATCGACCAATGTGGGAATTCACTCCTCATATCCGACTGAAAGTTACACCAGGGACTATGTACATGTCTTCAAAGAATGTTCAGACTTCAAATGAACATGTACGTAACGATCCTCCCATACCTCAAGAGATTCATCATAAGTGAGACGCAGTTTTCCGCTCAAGAACCAAAATACACGAATTCTGCGATCAGGTGAAGTTGTCACGAACTGTCTTCCATCGGAACTGACCTGCATCCACCAGATATAATCAGACGCAGATGGAAAGAATGCAATTTAAAAGGACACGAAACATGGCGGGATAGGGAAAATCATCATTGTCTTCAAGAATTAGTTGAATACAGACCCAACACACACGGCATCGGTAACAACTCCGTGATAGAACATACACGAGCGCGAAGTCTTTGAAATCCGTATCTGAATTCCATAAAAAAAAGTGCTGTTTAGCTCTAAATAACTGGCGAAAGGTACCTCTAAGGCCGAGACAGTCGTTTTCGCTTTGGCCAGAATATACAAGTCTGTCTCGGTTTTAAACTTGAACTGCACACTACACCAAAAATTGTCATTGGTGTAAAGCTAATTGATTCCGGATCCCAGATACTCCATCAACTTTCCGTCTTGCACATAGGAACTTTCCGTCTTTACAACGACATTCTTCTTAGAACGATGGCAACAACGGCGGGACCACAATACTCAGAAACAATGAGAGATAGTGGAACCGTGAGCTGTTGCAAGAACCAAAAGATAAGATACATTCTATGAAGATTGTAAGAATATCGCAACCTACTAGAAGTTTTCTAGTCAACCATAACCAATAACCGGCTTCCTTCCACATACCTGTCGGTTGGAAAATTCAACGTTTCTGGAGACCAATAATCGATAAGCCCCTTTGAATCTGCGGTCAAAACTAGATCATACACTGGATTGTATTTCATGACTTTCACAGGTGATAAATGGACCTGCAAGATCCAAACAAACCTGGTTAGCTTAAAATACCTGCTGGAAACTACGAACATTGTGGAGATATTGACGAAGCAATTACTGCAGTGGCAGAGAATGAAACTCTCTGTGAGCCGGCTAAAGAATCCGACTTCGCCACATTAAGAAAGACACCATCAAAGTAAAATGTGATTCTTGATCCAGCTTGATTCTTAACTTCCTCTCGCTTCTCATGTAGAGATGGACTAAGCCACACTAGCTTATCGATGAATTCAAGCTCGGATATCAATACACACCTCCTTGGTGACCACTGGCTCGTTACTACCCGATCGTGCATCGAATATATGAACGTTATTTGATGCACGATCGCTGATGGCAAGCCGAGCCACTGCATCTCCCAATTTGTAAACCCACTCAATAGCCCCAGGCACAAAAGAGAGCTTCAACATAGCCATCATGTCATAATTAACAACGTCGTATATTTTAGCTGAGCGATCAGTCGATATGGTTGCGCAGAGAAGACCATCTGCACTGACCTGCATCAAACCAGCTACATTAACGACTCGGAAAGGACCACGCCACGAATATTCAACGGAGAGAACATCGAGTTGTATTATACCATAGACCAAGACAAACTATCTATTTCTTGTAAAGATGCAGTTCTCAAAACTTCATCGAGTCACTGAGCTCAATCTGTAAAACGAAGGACTCTAATCAAAACACATTTGGTTACTCATTGCACAATCATGAGTGCAGAGTATATCCATTCTCGTGCAAAATTCGATGGTCTTCGGCACAGGTCCACGCACCTTCGATCGTTGTAATCTAGCATGTACAGTCCTCTTCCTAAATAGGCCTAAACTCACAAATTTTCGTTCTCTCTGCGACCCTCGCTTTAAGGTCACTCTTTCAACACTGAGACCTAGAAAGTGGAACTTTACGACAGTCGGGACATAGAACTTACCGCAACGCCTTCAATAGGACCTAAGTGAGAGCGAAAGTGCTTCACGAATTCGATACCGACGCCCTTTTTTTTCCAAAACTTCAGGTGCCCTGCAGCAACAAATGTTTGCTCCAAATTCAGTGCTTCAAACGAACCACAGAGACCATCACAACGAGCTCGATTAGACTCAACAAGCGCAGAGATAAGTATCAGCAACATACCATCGGTGCTTCCAGTCATGAAGAAGTCAGCACTGGACACAGCCACATGAGTGACGACATCCCGGTGCATGTAGCTTTTCTCGTACCTGCAAAGTCCCAGAGCACTAAAATCACTCGAAGAACATGGAAAAGAATTCAAAAAGTCTTGAACGCACAAAGAGGTCACTGGAAACAAGAGGAAAAAAATAGCACCTTTCCAGACAAGCAGAAATTACATCGAGTGGCCAAAAAACCGAAATATTGGACCAAAACCAGCACACAGAGTGAACTCACATTTGGGCAGAAGGTAAGGCATCGAGGTACGCGCGCTCAAAGCCCAGCTTGCGCTTGGGGCGCGCAGGAGGGGCCGGGCCGGGCCCTACAATGGCGTCTTCCTCCTCGTCCATTTCACCTCTCGGACCGAGCCACGTTTTCGCAAGCAAGCAAGCTCCAGTCGCGAGATTTTCTTGCGCTCAACGAGCGAACGACGAGAGACCAAAGTCTGTCCCCTCGATTCCGGACGCGAAATCGCACCCTCCCGTCCTCGGCCTGGTAGCAAATCCCGCTCGCTGCTGCAGCTCTGCTCCTCCTTTCAAACTGCACTTTCGAATGTCTGATTCCGAAGCATTGTCGCCTTCTGTCGATTAGCCCCGAGGACAAGACACAAATTTGGCAAATTAGTGCTCTCTAAACCTCCATTGAAAGTCTCTGACCAGTGCTTACTGCATATCATATCTTAATAGTAGGTTCACAGTTATAATCAAATGTGATATGCTTATCAGAGCACATCGTATTTGGCCGAATTATACCAAAGATATGACGTTTGAGGGTTTCTTTGAAAAAATTATTGATTTCAAAGTCCAAAAATGAAAATGATGATAGTTGAAACAAATTTGGAGTTTTGATGCATTAATGTTTTCATTTGACAAAAGAATATGAAACAATTCATTGTTGGTCAGATCACATGATAATCCAAAAGAGTTACAGGGTACGACAATTTTGTAATTGTGATTCTTTTTAAATTAGATTTATAACATGAAGTTTTAGAAATCATAGTGATATCATTAAAAATAACATTAAAATTGATTCTTAAAATCCAAAATCATTACAGATATTTATGTTCAAGAGTAAAGTGTTATGTTTCAGAATAAAAAATAATTTATTCAGAATATTTCTACAAAAATTTTCAACTAATTTTGATAGATTGATACAAGACTGTTTTATGTTATTTTTTGCACAATTTCATTGTAATAAATATTAAAAAAATTGAAATCACAACTATCAAGAGACATGAAATTTGAATATGAGTTTGTGATCATATGTGTTTGAATACGTCATTGATAATTCTGGTAATTTATTCCACATATACTTATTATAATTAAATATCTATTATTTATATTGAATATAAAAATTATGTAGCTTCAAACTAAAAATAAAATCAATTAATCATAAAATTAAATTTTCTATTTGGCATGTTATATGTTCTATTTGACAATTTTTTTACGTAGATTAAATTATAAGTATGTTGTGTACACAATACTCGTTAGATTTTCTGATATAAAAAACTCAATTTTTATTTTTTAAACGATATGGGTTGTCATTTTTTGACAATACAGCATTTGCTGTTGAATTGTTTTGAGTAACATGATTTATTGAAATAAGTCTCTTGATATGGAAATTTATAAATACATTTCAAGGATGATTACAGTATTTCGAAATTTTGAAATATATTTCTTAATAATAATTATCAAATGATAGTTGAGAAACAATATAATTATATAAGTATTTATAATTAAAAAAATTTATCATAGTTTTAATACATAGATTCATTTGAGTTAGAAATCATCTCATCTGTACTCAAGACTTTGTTTTCATATTAATTAAATAAAAGTTAATATGATGAAATTTTTATATTAAATAATTTTATTTAGTTTTTAATATTGATTATGAAAAAAAAATTCTTCAATTGGTTTCAAATTTTTTTCTATATAAGACATTGTAGTGTTAATCTTGATATATGTATTTATACAAAGGCAGTGATGGTTAGTTGTGGTTAGCAATTAGGGAACAACGAGTAATGAGATGCTCGACAACTCACAGGAGAGTTGCACGTTATCAGAAACAAATATGACCAGCGCCGTAAAGTATCAAGAGTGTGGACATATCTGGATTTGGGAAAAAAAATTGTGCGCATAAGGTCTTTTAATAAGACCTTATTCGCAAAAAAATGTATAATTCTACAACAATGACTCGTATCCCATGCATATTATATCCGAACTATCAAAATAAAATAAAAGTATAATTCATTTCAACGATTGTAATGTTGTGGATACTCGATGGCTGGCTTGGTTCTTCCTTTTACACAATTCTCATTTCACACATGCTTAACATCCATCTTAGACAGGATTTGTGCTCGTCGATATTTGGGATATGTTTACGTCGATATTCTTATTCCCTGGTTTGGTACTCTTCCAACCAAATTATATGTTTTTCCCTCTTGTCAATCCTCGTGATGTTCTGCTCTCGTCATCTAAACTTGTTCTTCTCGACTTTTTGTGCCATTCATTTCTGGTTCTAGCGACAATAATTTATATACACAAAATTCTTCACTCGATTGGAAAAGCGGAATTCTTCACCTCTATGCACATGACGGTACGAGGCCAAAGTATCAAAAAGCAAAACATGCGATGGAGAGAGTTAAATTATGGAGCAAGTCAGCCATTTGGTCGAACATTTGTTTGGTACACACGGAGCGAGTTGACTCGATCTTCTCTCTCATATGCAGAAGTACAGAACACCTTTCCGTTGCAAGAGGCGTGCATGGGATTCGAGCTGTATTGCGGTAGATCTGGCAAGACCTTCCTTGAAATGCGCCGAGACCGAGAGCAGTGGCAGGTGGCAATTGTGCACGCGAGCTCGAGTGAAGGAATTAAGAATCGACATTAAAACGAGTTACTTGTGAAGAAGCCTGAGAATCCTGAGAGCCGTAGAAAAGGTGGATAAATGATAGAATCGTCAGTTGCCGAGTCACAGGGCTTGCCAGAGGAGTTGCGATTGTTGCTTTCCTGGTGCAGATGAGGATCAGGAGGAGGAGGAGGAGGGGGGATTTGGGATGCATGGGTAGAAGAAACGGCGATTGACATGCTCGAGGCGTTGCGCAGCAGTTGAGGAAGCGGCTCGTGATCGAGGGATTTTTCGGGAAGAGGAATGAATGGCAGAGAACGGAATGTTCTTGGGTTTTTAAGGTCTGATTCGTGAGGGTTGAAAGAGAAGTTTCGAAATGGAATTCCGCTGCAGAAGATAGATCTTGTGACTTTTACGGAGAGTTCACTTCTGACCTGCTCGGCGGACATGGATCGTGACGTAGTTTCAGTTGGGGCAAGCAGGGCCGTGCCTGTTACTAGTGGAGAGGCGGGAGCAGGATCGCGAAATTTGCACGTTTCGGAAGAGAATTCCGCGGATGTTACAGAGAATTCGGTTCTCAAGAACCTGGCCGATTCGGTAGAAGTAGCGGAAAATGGTGCAAAGGAGGCGGAGGAGGGAGCTATAACGAATCTCAATGGTTTTGCCGATTATGGAAGAAGGGAACACCCTCAGAGAGACCGAGAAGTTCAGTTAGCAATGCAGATGGCAGACGCTGTGGAAGATGATGCGCATGCTGTTGCTAGAAGTCTGACGGCCCTTCTATCATCTCTCAAGTCCGCACTCTCTGAGGTGAAGCCCCCGTCAATAATGTGAATGGCTTTTCTTGCACGTCACACCAGGGGGAGGGACGGTTTTAAACATTTATTGCAGCTATAACAAATTCTGGTAAGCTGAGATCTGAAAATTTTGTAGGTCACTACAAGTTCAGTTGCAAACATGCGACTTGAAAACGAAGCTGCTGGTCAGGTGCAAGATGCTGGTAAGCTAGCACTTATTTAATCATTTGGTGTGTACTTAAAGGTGTTGCACTGAATCTGAAAGTAGCAGTAGCCAAGATTTTGTAATGACTTTCAACTTTTCTTGCATACCTTCTGCATGTCCTGCGTAAGTACACCCCATAGCCTCTCTTTTATAGAAGGTGTGATAGTATAATATCGACAATTTGGGGCTTTTTTCGAAAAACTTGGACACAGTGACAACGATTTGTGTGTTGTAATCTGACTGTCATATTATGAGAAACATTCAGTGAAAGCAGTTGTAGTGAAAAGTCAGCACAGTAATCCCGAGGAGTTGCTGGAATGCTGAATAACAGTAGATCTTCTTCGATGCCAGCATCCAAAGACATTCATTCATTCACCCTATTCGTTTCAGGCTGTTGGTGCAAGTAATCTCTACTTATCCAGTCTCACATCTACTCGATCATGGGATTTAGTTTTCAGATGTTTTCATCTTTCAGAGCTGGTCTTTTTTGTTTACAACAGGCTGAGAGTTCTTTCTGTTTTCTGGCAGCAATCGATGCGGCATCAAAAGGAAACCGTTTCGTGAATGCTTGTCTCAGGTACAAAATCAATATCTTGAATGGTTTGTTAAGTGACTTCATTATATCAAGCTTGAGTTCTTCCATCATCACGTAATTCTGTGCGTTAAAAATAACCTTCAATAAGAATAAGGCTTAGCTCAAGCTTAGACTACCTTTTGCCACTGAAGCTCTCGCTGAACTGACATAGCTCTCTATTATAATAAGGATAGAATGTTTTAAGTTTCAACGCTCAGGAGATCTATTTAAATACGTATGATCTATCGAAATTCTAACTAACGCTAGTGTATTCCCGTAGACTATGTAGGAGGCTCTTCTGAACACAATTGTAAGAGATACACCTGACTGTTGTGTAATTAATAATCTATATTGAAAATTCTGTTACTAATCCTTTTCTTGCCTTCAAACGCTTCCCCCCCACAACCCCCAATGATAACTTTGACTCATAATTGAAAATGCATCACAAATTCGATATTATTGAGTTTCAGAAAACTCGAGCTGTAAAATTATTTTTCTAGCTATAAATATACAGCTGGAAGCGATGTCTTCACTTCAATAAACACCTCCAATGTCCTTCAAGTCTTTCTTCGAGATACAGTCGGTTTCGTCTCACCTTTCGTTAGCAGTTGAGACGTCATTATTACTCTCTGCAGAGTCCATCTTACCCTTTAGAGTCGTAATGAGCCTTTCCTGTTGGGCCAAAGTCGAATATATTTTATGAAGTCATTATTTTTCAAGTCATATAATCTTAGTTACTCAGTTGATTGGTTCTATCTTTGAAGATGTACATTGACACTCTTGGTGGTGCACATGTGTAGATTGAACGAAGAGATGAAGGGCATGGAGCGAGTGGCAAATCAGCTGTATCCACCATTATATGATGATATAGCAAAGCGTGCAATGCTACAAACATGTCTCATACTAATTGTTAGCATCTGTCAATGATTACAGTGCAATAGGTGGTCTTCTTTTCGTTTGACTGGTCTATATTATTTGTATCAGACTTACATTCAAGAAAACCTCACAAAATTTATCCTTGACATCAGATATCAGAGAAGCATTGAAATTGAAAGTGGACCAAGTAGAAAGCCAAGCCAACCGTTTTATATCTAGATAAAGCTCAAGGTCTTGCGAATCAACATGCTCTCCAAAAGCAGATCTCAAGCTGAACACATAGTTCACTCTATGGTAACGGATCTCTTGTACGTTTTACCAAATTGAATCTTATTAGGAGATTACATCCACGTGCTTTCTTCACAAGAATGACAAGGGACTTTGTATACTGAGGATTTTTCGTAGTGCAGTCATGTGTGTGTAAACAGGTTTTCATGGTGCTGGAGATGGGAAGATTGGGCTTTTTGTGCAGGTGGACTTTATCTAACTTATGTCCATTAATTTCTACACCGACCTCGTATGAGCGTGGGATTAAATTATTCTTTACGGCCACTCTCGATAGAACTCCGAGGATAGCAGTCTTGGAGTTAGTATGGCCTGAGATCGTGGGTCATACTAGATATCCTCAATGTGGAACCACAGTGTATTTCTGGTATTAAGTTTTCGTAAGATCAACTAATTCTGCTGCCCTATTATCAGAACGTCCGTTCGTCGATTTAAAATCACATTTGCATGCTTGGGCCTTCTCGAGACTGGACAGATACCCAGGTTGACATGCTGATGAGCTCAGTTGAGCTGGGTAGTAGCAAATTTTAGATCACTGCATGTGGGTTGTTTTGCCTTTTCAGGCCAGAAAGAAAGACATGTATTATGGTGTTGGTCAACGACCATTCAGATTATGTGCAGTTTGTCCGGGTTATGTGCGTGATGGTGTTATACGAGGCTCACGACATTTCACAGACCCGCAAAGTTCATACCCAAAATTCCGCCACTTACCAAGAAAATTTCAGTTTTGATTCCTTGTTGAGCCTAATTGGTTCTGCGTGGATCGAAATCTGGCAAATTATTGTCACAAATTTAGCCGACATTTTTCTTTTTGTACCTTTATTTTGAGGCAAGCGTTCAGAAGCTTGTGAAAGGGTCTGAAATATTCTTGTACGTGCACTCTTTACTACGAATAATATTTATTATAAGCATGAAAATTGCAAATCAAGCGGCGAAATCCACCTTTTCATATTCTAGCACAGTACGAAGTGCCTTTCTGTCGAGCAATATTTATTGAAAAACCGGCTATGCCTATAATAATTCGGAGGATCGAGGAGGTTTGATACTCTTATCCAAGGACAAGTGATAACTTTGTTTGCCATCACTTAAAATAGAAGCTTTAGAGAGCTAAATAACCACATGTCCGATATTCGGGTCGCTGGAAAAACTTAGGAAACTCTGAACACTGAGTTAAAAAAAAACGGGTGTCTAAAAATTCATCCTGGTAAACTCGTCTTCTGGCAGCAACCCCTACAACGCCCAGGAGGTCTGGGTCACATTAGAAGAAGAGGGAGGGATAGTTCCCCACAACGAACAAAGCTGCCAAGCACGTGATGAGAGAGAGAGAGAGACAACAGATCCACAAACAGGGCCCACGCAACACCGATCGAGGACAATGCGAGCAACGAATCCAGCACCATCCTTCAGGAGGCAGCACCACCAGTGGTAGGCAACGAATAGTTGTCGATAGGAAGTCAACGCCTCGAAGAGAGTACACGCTCTAAAATTATAACAGAAGTGAGTACCTAGCCGGTAGTAAATTCGTACCACAGAATGTTCAGACTTGTGCTTGGACATATGGATATACATCGAGAAAAGGCGAGGAAAGAGAAAAATCTCCGATACTCAAAGGAGTTAAAGAACACAATTATCATTTATTAAGAAGCATGGTAGAGGGGCACCGGGATTCATATTGAAGGTCGATAAAAGCGGCAGCACAAAGTCCGAAAGGTTTCCGAATGGAAGAAATAGGGTTGTGGCGGAGCCTGGTATAGTGGAGATTTAAGACAGTGGGACACAAGCTGTGGCACCCAGAACAGAGCATACAAAGTCGATTAAAGATTAGAGAGTAACGACTGAGGGCCAAAACTCACTTTAGCGACGATATCAACGGGCAATCTGCATCTAAGTATAGACTGATTAGGGGACAAGAAAGTGCAAGTCAGACAAGCAATAGACGTAAATCCAGTCAATATCGTGAGGGACTCTATTGATTAGGTCAAGGTATTTTACATATTTAACACATGATTTAATCACATATATGCACCGATTACCGGAAGGATTTGAAATTCAATAATCTCATTGAATGTGTTCATATACAATCGCCAATAAAGAGCTTTCTCAAGAAGCAACTAGTCAACTAATCAATCTCGTGATATGAAATTACTCAAACTCCACCTCTAGTCTCGCCTGCCGTCTAACCGTTAATTCGCATGCGAACCGGAAACATCATCTCCCTTCAAACTAATATTCCTCTCAGTGGCAGAGACTGATGCAGGCTGTAAATTCATGTGACACGTATTAGTACATGTTTCTCGGTTCGAGTGCTGATTGTGAAAATTTTCACCACTCAGCATCCAGTACCATGTAAATTGTGTATAAGTACATGTTCGACGATAGGTCTTTCAACATATCTAACCAAGTTCTCTCCGTTATACACACCCTCAATTTAACTTCGAAGTTCTATACAATGCTGGAGGTCACGTCAATGTGAACACTGGAAACAAACCATGAGGAAAGTAATAACAGCACGAGACTCAAATTTCACTTCATTAGAGCATTTCAATTTCCGTTCCAATATCTATAAATAAGATAACAATACACCAGAAGTCAAGTGAGATCTTCAACATCCATTCTAAAAAATAATTGAAGTCACATTTCAAGAACTTATCAGGCTCTCAAGGTCGAGATTCCGACAGAATAAGCCCGACCTGCATAGGGACTCGTAATGGCAGCATTCACAACTCTAGGGGAACTACAGACCAAAATTACGAGATCGGAGAAAGAATGTCTGTAACGAGTTCTAAAAAATACGTGTGGCCTGGACCCTAGGTCTAAGCTTTTCTCCTTCCAAGGGGTAAATTACAGCTGAAAGTGTACCTACAATAGCTTCATTGAAAGGGAGAAAAATCTGAAATTCGGTGAAATGAAGTGCGAATCGAAAGCACCGTGCTTGCTCTCCTTCTAGTATATAATTTCATCCCTGCTCTCTGTGTACAGTAAACTCTATTGACAAAGGACCTATAGTACAAAAGGGACCGGCAAAACTGAAGAATATTCTACGGAAACAGACATGAGGCTGTCTGTCTCAGGTCATATCATCTCCGCAAGGACAAGGTTGTAGAAAGCCGTGTTGGTATGTTTAAACTATGTAACCTGTTTACGAAGGAAACACTTGAGCCTCTCTCAACGAGACGATAATTGGTGGAAAGATTGGATAACATGCCATGACACCCATTTGTCGCCGAATGACGCCTTCTTTTTAAGTGCAGAACTGCGGGTACGATGAGCATGTCATTCTTTCATGTCATACCAGAACCTGCAGGATTGTGATGATGACCTTCTCCTAACTATTGATGACCATTCATTGAGACCGCCTCGGCAATTGATTTGCTTTTCTTGACTGCAAACAGATGAAGACAAGAGTTATCACCTGTCATTGACTATCCCATGGCTGGAAAAAAAACCGTCCCCTTCACTTGAGCTTTCTACATATGTTCAAATAAAGGTCAATACTTCGAGCAGGTAAAGAGGCTGCAACTGTCCTCTTTGGTCTCTTTCAAACTGAAAAGAATTGCTTACCAGATGAGCTCAACTTCACCACAACGATGTGCATGGCTGCATTGTTTGGTGGAAGAGTAGGCAGCTTCAATTCGTACAGGTTTGAGTTAGTATGATGACGAGCACACAGATAGATGTCGTCGTCGAGTTCAAGTACTTCCTTCAGCTGCTTCTTTAGTGCACTGAGAGTATGACCCTTGAAGTTCAAGGTAGGCCATCCAGAGCCATCGAGGCGCCTTGCTTCCTCTATATCACTGGCGACGGCGTAGTGAATAGTGCGCCCTTCCGGAGGTTTAGAAGTAGCAGAGGCTGCAGTGACAGATGGTGACGGAGTGGACGGCACGTACGCGGAATGAGCTGAGACTGAAACGCCATAAACCGGTCTACGATGAGGCGGAGAAGACTCGGGCGACTGTCCTGGAGGTGAACCGTCCGACATCGGATCTGAATCTCCAATCATTGTCCCAAGCTGCGTGGGAGAATGATTGGAGATTGAAACAGCACCTGAAGACACATAAGCTGCATGCGCTGCTGCTAGTCCTCCCTGCACAAATGCAAAATGAAGCTTTAGAGTTGGTGAATGACCTTTAATTAGACCGTTTGAATTGAGTGCAGTGAGAGGTGTCTCATCTCTTAATCCTGTCAAAAACTAGAACACGGTTTACATGACGACAATGGCCGAAAAACGAACATGTCAGCCAGCATATGCTTTTTGTTTTGGGCAATCTAGGAAGACTTGTTAGCATTCATGAGCTTCTCTCTCGAATTTCCTCTAAAACACAAGAGGATGTATTTCCTCTTCTCTTTTTTCTCTTAAACATTATGATGCTTCTTGATCAAAATGATAATGCAAGAGACAAAATCAAATATAGATGCGGAATCAATTAGTACGTTGGTATGTTGACGACCAACTACGCTTAACTGCGACTTTTACTGAACGAAACTATTGACTTAGAAAACTTGAAAACATATGATTGGCTGATATGCTTACCCCATGACTAGAACCAAGGGCGCCGGAACTCGTGCCATCAGTCCCGAAGACAGTTTCGATCTCCCAAAGTAGGTACTCTTGATGTTTTGCCATTCTATGAGGAATATCGTGAGTGACTGAATTTCTCCATGGGGGACCGAGCGCCTTGTTTGCCCTGAGGAAATTCCCATGACAGGTCTTCAACTTCACCTGAGACCCTTCTCTAATTGGTTCCCATTCAACTGAGGAATCTATATGCCTTGGCTTACTTTGCACAACCTTCTTTCCTGTCATTCCTGTCAGGAAATTATCATCACTCGCAGTTAAATAAGTTTTATGACAGCTCACTAATCTGATCTGGGCACAATCGGGATCTCGTTCCACTCGCCAGTGAGCCGCGACGTTCATAGGTTCCCTGCACTGAAACACTTTGTAGCCATCATCATCGGCCCACAAATACTTTCCATGTAGGCTCTTCAGTCGCACGAGCTTGGCCTTCTCAAAAAACTCCATCCTACATAACACAGCATTCCTTCAATTTATCAGAGGGTACACTCCAGTGTCATCAGAACGTACACGAACTTCGACATGTTTGACAAATGACGCTATGACAAAAGATCGGAAAGTATGTCCATCGACGTATCATCACCATGTCAAGACTATCGCTCGGAAACAAAATAAATGTGAATGTATCTAAAGCAGCCAACCGGCTGACGACAATTGGTTTCCGACGTATCTCGACTTGCAAAAGGTATAATTGCTAGCAATAAGTGGATCTACAATCTGCACACTGTTATACATCCATCCTATCCATCCTTTCCATCTCTTCTCTTCAAATTCAGAATTGGCATCTCGAATTCTGTCCTCCAGAAGGTCTACGGATAGGATCTCAAAAAAGTTTGGTGAAGCTATGTGCACACAATCGCAGTCCGCAAACTAGGAAGCTCGCGTAATGACGAGTCATACAAGTTCTCATAGCAGCAAATGTTCAAAGACGTAAAGAGAGCTCGCTTACAAGCAGGTCGGAGTTTCTTCTCAGATCTGGAGAGCTTGAACCTCGAAACTCCTTAGAGAGTCAAATGCACAGAGATCAATCCAAGGATTTGCGCCAGGGGCCACTCAAACCCACCCACCTAGCTATTCACTCACAAACACGCCTCACCTAAGGGGAAAATCGACGAGGCAGGCCGTAGGCTGCCTAAGCTTTGAATGTTTTGAAAAACTCTCCGACTAAATTGCTCGTCCGCAGTCCAACCCAATCGCTCCTCAGAGAGAGAAGCGGAAGGTCAGACACACAGACAGAGAGATTACGCAAGAAGTGGCCGAGCGATCGACTAAATTACCACGCTGGACAAAACACACAGAAAATCCCGCACGCACGCACGCACACCAAAACACACGCACACGCAGAGAAGCAGATTAATCTACGAAATCTCACCAAGCCTACTTGAAGACCTCTACCCCCCTCGATCACTACCCACCTCGATCCTTGCAGCAGCAGCTGCTCGGGAGTTCCAAGAAGTTGAGCAAGTGACGATCTGCGTCCACCTTTCTCCCCGTGGCCGGCCCCACGGCCAGACCGCGCCCTCGGGCTCGACCTCGTCCCTGGTCCGCCATCGGCCAATCTGCACAGACAGACAGAACGGAGGGCTTGCACTCCGTAAGTCCACTGCCGTCGCCAGGGGAGATGGCAATTCGCCTCTCGGTGTGTTTCGGTTCCGCCTTTCGGTTTCGAAATTTGGCTTGCTTCGTGTGCAATCCACGCGTCCGCGGTTGCCCAGTTGGCGTTTTGTGGACCGGCTTGCTGGCTGACCGACCGACCGACTGACTGCCTGGGAAGCATGTCGCCGTTGACTGTCCCGTCCCACTGGCAGACCTGGAAGGCGGAGTCGTAGTCGCGTCGCACGCGGTTGGCCTGGTTCGGGACTGGATTGGGTTTGGAGTCCGAAATTCCCCTGCGTCTTCCGTAGACGTTTGTTGCTTCCCTTCAAAGACAAGTACGGCGCCCGATCATAACCAGCCGGAAGCCACTGCTGCTCCCACTGCGACATTGGGCACCCCTTCAAGGTATTACGTGATTGCCCACGGCATGTAATACAATATAGACCAAGAATTTTAGTAATATAAGTTATAGATCTATATAATTATATTTTTTTATCTTATCATATATAAATGTTCAAAAAAATTTATCTAAATTTCAATTTTCCCATTATTCTGGTTTGTATTAAAAAATAAAAATACATATTAAATTTTTTAAGATCATCATTATAATTTAAAATAAATATCTAATATTCCAAATTTAATTTTTTATCAAATATTATGTTAAATAAACTATTTTATCTGATACCAATATAAAATTAACGTTGAAAACATTCAAAATATGATCAATCACGAGATTAATTAGTCATACGGGCATGCCCCCGCACTCGACCTGTGATATGACTTTGAAGTTATGACTCCAACCCTAGTTGTACCACGTGGAAAAGGCTGAGACGCGTCAAATCTCCGGTCGGTTCCACGTCATAGGCGTTAAAACCATGGTTCGTAGTATTATATTTCTCGCCTTGTCAGTCTTGCCTGCAAGCCAATTTCGAATGCTCTTCGACCTTCAAAAACTACAAGTTCTGCAATAGAAAGATGCCAAGTTATCGTACAGGAATAGCATCAACCACACCACGAAATCTAGGACTACTAAGCTGTATTTAGAAAACCAAGAGATACGTATCTTAGCGGGTTATATGTACTGCACTATTATGATACTTACAGATCTGTACTGCAAAGTGATCCTAGCAGTCGAAACTGACAAGCCGAGAAATAAAATCTACTAATTTTCTTACTTACTTAGCTGGACGATATCCGGTAATCTTACGGGTTAGGTCAAGCACAGATCTGACGAAGGGTGCCGCCGGCAGCATCGCCGGTTTCTGACAAATCCTGAAGTGATCAGTGAGTTAGCGTCAGCAAGGAATAGAATCTAATCTTCACCGTTGAGTTGACTTCTTCTCTGTTCAGCGTCTGGAGAATCTAGTCCGACTCGAGCGACATGCTGTGATTTCGTTGACGGTTACAATGATAAGATCCTGAAGCTGTCCTCTCGGAGAAAGCAGGAGACGCGGTTCGTTCCAGTCAGTTACTCGGACGCGATCCCGCCCTTTTTGAGTCGGTCAAGTCGACTTACGTCGTAACACCTCGTGAACGTGAAACCGTGCCAAGACCAGGAAACTGCGTGCCTGTCTTCAAAATGGTGGGGAACAGTTCAGCTCATCTCTTGCTGCATGTTATGATTTGCATTTTCTCACAAGAGAGTGTCCACCTTGTCGAGGCAAATTCATGTTCCATTCCTTTGGTTTTAATATGATAGCCCTGGTATCATTCGTACATTTGTGCAACATGGATATTTTTTGCTTCACGGAACTATCCAATTTCCTCATGATTCTTAGTCTACCTACCCCAAAAGACATTCCTTGTGACGAATCTGAGAACTAATTAGACTAGGAGTGGAACATAATATATAAGGTTCAATCCAGTCCACAAAAGTCCTCTGAGTTATATGTTCTATTAGGAATCGCTATGTCTGGATACTGAACACTTATTCCACTCCACTGCCATGTATGATGAGCAAAGCTTGGAGGTTTCCATGTGAGAAGTATGTCTCGTACTATTTACTACGTCGCTACAACGACGACAGAGAATTTTGAGCTGTTAGGAAAACGGTAGTTTCCAATGAACTCATCTAGAGTCTATCGAAGCAAAGTTAATAATGTATTAAATTATTAGACATGATATCGAATACACATTCAAGATATCAACCGTTTTACTTAAGCCATCAACAGATCTCTCTTCAAGGTTGGACATGACCAATTCGTGGCCATATTCACGTCTAGCTTTTAATAATAACCCTATGCATGCAATCCTGAAATAAACGGTTTTTAGTGTGAAGCTATTTGAGAGTTCTCAGTGATCTGGCACGCAATTCAAAAGAATTAAAAGTAGTGTGCGTTTGGAATTTAATTCGCGCTAAGCCTACCCCCTCGGAAATCTACTGAGGAATGCCTCCTCCCCAAAAGTATCTTGCACGAAGCTTTGCTGACTTCTACCATTGATCTCATCTACATCAACATAATTTAGTTCATATGCAATACTGTAATTCTAAATCCTGAATATTTTCATTGTTGTACGACTTTGAGTAATTTTCAAATCAAAAGTTTATAAATACTAATTTTAAAAAACCATAAGATCTGCTCATGTTATTAATTGGATTATTGCATTGAATTACAAATTGTATTTTAAAGACCACTAATGTAGAAAATGAACAAATCTGTTTTGAGATTCATTATAATTTTTAAAATTTATCTCTAAAATAAAATTCTAAAAAAATAAAATTTGAAATTTGAGAAATCATCAAAAATTACGTAAAATATACAAAAATTAGATTACAAAAAATATTCAATCATGTTAGACTCAATCAAAAATAATTATTTACATGATTATATATATATAGTGTTTCATCACTAATATTTCAATGCCAGTGATGTTGTAATGATAATCGATTTATCAATATCATTTGATAAATCAACAATGAAATGTTAGCTTTTTTAAAATTGTATTGTGATCAATGTCATTAATATGTGAATCTATACCACATAATTTCAAAACTTGTATCATTTCATGATTCAAATGTTGTCATTATTTTATATTATCATATTTTTTAGTGTTGAAATAAAAATTAAACTTTTAAGAAATGTTTAAATTTTTTAATGATAATATAATTGTAGAAAAAAATTTCACATGGGTATCATGTAACTATTATTTTGATGTACATGGAATAATAGTATATATATTATATAAATTATCTTTGTTAGTAGTAACTCAAGTCTCAAGTTAAACTCAACTTAGAGTTAATATTAGAATCAATACTAAGGTATCATCTATAAGATAGTAAGATATCGAGGATAAATAAAACTCATGGTCATTTACAAATAAGGAAAAATACATGCGACAAATAGACTCATTGTGTTAATATACACAGACGACGGTATGTGGATGTGCTCGGGAAAGAGCAAGAAACCAAAAAGAAACTAACTTCTATTCACAAATATTCCGTGTTAAACCGTAAAGATTGAGGACGTCTAGACAAGAAATAACACAACAAATCAACGGTACTTGTACATACAAGGCACTCTCGAGAGGTCCAGAATTCTACCAGAGAGATTACTTAGGATTAAGTAAGTTTTGCAAGAATATTTCCAACCCTGCTAAATTCAAAACGTAGCTATATTTCCACTATTCCACAAGTGAAAGATAAGTTTCTAAAACCCGGACAGAATTACTTGTTTGGCGAGTCCAACAACTCCTAAAAGCTAACTAATCCATAACAGGTTGACAACCTACGACCAGCGAAAAATTCTAATCCTAGATTAAAGTCGACGGTACTGCAAATCCTAAATTGAAAAAACCCGCCTTACAGTGACTTAACCTAACACAAGACACACATCTCTCGTTGAACAATTTTAGGTTCTCAATAACAACTCCTTTGTTTTTGTTTAACGTAGTCCGAAAGTGGCTGTCACATATTTTCTTGCTGTTAGTTTTCTTGCTTGTGGATATGTTGATTTTCATGTTTTTCCAGACAATTGAATGTGTTTTTTTGTTATATATTTTTATATGATACGTTTTAAAAACATTCAAAAAACTATTTGATTATTTTTATTTTTTACATAATAATATCATAATTTTTTTAACTTCAAATTTTAATATTTTAACTTTAAAATAATAATAAAATATTTTCTAATTTATTATGATATTTTATTATTCATAAAAATAAAATCATAAAATTTATGTGTATTTAAAATCATTTCAATTTCCAAAAAAATTCAAGTTTTTAATTCTCCCGGAAAAAGGCTCAGAGCCTTAACAGGCGCCGGGCCGCCCATCCTGCGTCAATCATTATATTTTTCTAAAATAAAAGAACAATTCTATAAAATATTTTATTTTTATTTTTATTTTTAGTTTTTTTTCAGTGAAATTTACACCATATGTTTTTCCTTTTTTATTATATTTCGAAATTTCTTATGTCAATTTTTTAAAAAAAATTTGAAAAAAATTTAATGATAATATTATACTAAAAATATCGAAATATCCATAAATGATTATTGATATCATTGTTAAATTGTTTCTAAGAATGAAATGATCTGAAATTCATAAGACATTGCATCATAATAAGTCTATATTTTTAGAAATATAAAAAACAAAAGTTGAGTAAAAATATTGCATAAAATACATAGTTCAAATAAATTTTAATAAATGTATATACATATAATACATAAATGTCAATACTATACTCAACTCATGGATTAATGACATGACAATTATCATTGACATTGATGCACTCCATCTACAAAGGTTTTTTGTTGGAAAATATTCA